AAATAAAGCTTCTGGTGGTGTGGAGCGTTGGGAGAGGACTGTGATACAAGCCTGAGACAGGAGCTCCTGCTCGGACAACTTTCTGGTGGCAACCTTTTCGCACATTTCTCCTTAGTGACTTCTCTGGTCCTGTCACCATCACTGTCTTCTCACTTCATTGTTGCTGAGCCATTTAACCAGCAGGTCCTGTATGACCAACCTGATCTCCTTCTATGACCTGGTGACCCACCTGGTAGATGAGGGGAAGGCTGTGGATGTGTCTACCTGGACTTCAGCAAAGCCTCTGACACCATCTCCCACAGCACACTCCTGGAAAAGCTGCAGCCCATGGCTTGGACAGGGGCACTCTGTGCTGGGTTAGGAACTGGCTGGAGGGCCGGGCCCAGAGAGTGGTGGTGAACGGGGCTGCATCCAGTTGGCAGCCGGTCACTAGTGGTGTCCCCCAGGGATCAGTGTTGGGCCCAGTTCTGTTTAATATCTTTATTGATCTGGATGAGGGAATAGACTGTACCAATAGCATATTTGCAGATGACATCAAGCTGGGGGGACGTTCTGATCTGCTGGAAGGCAGGAGGGTTCTGCAGAAGGACCTGGATAGACTGGAGAGATGGTCTGATTCCAGTGGGATGAGGTTCAACAAGGCCAAGTGCCGGGTCCTGCACTTTGGCCACAACAACCCCCTGCATTGCTACAGGCTGGGCACAGAGTGGCTGGAGAGCAGCCAGGCAGAAAAGGACCTGGGACTTTGGATTGACAGGAAGCTGAACATGAGCCAGCAGTGTGCCCAGGTAGCCAAGAAGGCCAATGGCATCCTGGCCTGCATCAGGAACAGTGTGGCCAGCAGGATCAGGGAAGTGATTCTTCCCCTGTACTCAGCGCTAGTGAGGCCACACCTGAGTGCTGTGTCCTCAAGTCTGGCCCCTCAGTTTCAGGAAAGGACATATGAGGGTGCTGGAGCAGGTCCAGAGAAGAGCAAGCAAGGCTGTGAAGGACCTCGAGCACAAGTCCTCTGAGGAGAGGCTGAGGAGCTGGGCCTGTTTCAATGCCTGGGAGAAGAGGAGGCTCAGGGGAGACCTCCTCACTCTCTACAACTCCCTGAAAGGAGGTTGTAGCCAGGTGGGAGTTGGTCTCTTCTCCCAGGCAACTATCACTAAGACAAGAGGGCATGGTCTTAAGCTCTGCTAGGGGAGGTTTAGGTTGCATATTAGGAAAAAATTTTTTACAGAGAGAGTAATCAGACATTGGAATGGGCTGTCCAGGGAGGTGGTGGATTCTCTGTCCCTGGAGGTATTTAAGATGGATGTGACACTTAGTGCCATGGTCTAGCAACCACAGCGGTGTTGGATCAAGGGTTGGACTTGATGATCTTGGTGGTCCCTTCCAACCCAACTGATTCTATGATTCTGTGATTCTATGAATAAATTGTATAGGAAAAGCGAAATAAATTATTTGTGCTTCTCAGATCTGTGCTTAGCATCAGAAATAAAAATGTCACACTAAATTTTAGGAGCAGAGAGCTTCCCAAATTCCACATCATGTCCTTGTATCCTTATATGATACAGGGCTGTATTGTAATATTTTGATGCCTGCATCTCTGCATTCGAGTAGTCCTAAAGCAGAATGGGCACAGCAGGATAGTAGTTGAAAGGTAAATTTCTGGATTTATTTGCATTCCTTAGGAAGACTTCTTGAGCTTTAAGAAAACCTAGTTTGGATGTGTTTGTTTTTTCAGGAAGTCTTTCTGCACTTTATGGCAGTTTAGTTGTGAATTGTAGAGCAGTACTGAAGTGACTCCTGTTTTATTTAGAACACTGCAGTTAGCTCTTGTGCTTAATGCAAGCCCACTCTTAATAAAAGATTGTATTATTTTTTAAATATCTTGAGTCAGTTTCTATAAATTAGTTTTATTTTTTTTTTCTTTTAGCTTCTAGCATTTCTTATAAATGCTTTTATTAAGAGATTCCTCTCCCCTCCCCCAAATTGAGTGATCTCTTTTAAATATCTTTCCTGCTGCACTTGGTAAGCAGTGAGTGTTTAACTGGATACATCAAGCTGTCAGATAAATAGAGGGATTAAACCCAGCAATGGTGGTCCTTTTTCACTTTCCTGTCAGGGTGACAGATATGTTAGTCCCTCCAGTAACAGAATCATCGAACAGCATAGGTTTGAATGTACATATTACATAATGTACACAAAAGTGTGTAAATGTGTGTATTTTAGGATCTTTTTACATCTGTTTATGGACACACCGATGTCACGTTCTGAACTGTGTCTGATAATAATCCTTAGAAGCAACTTCCATAATTCACCTTGTGAGGGGAGACAGTTCTACATCAAATCCAATTTTAATGAGGAGCTCTGTGGGTACATTTGTACCATCAGCTGACAGCTGGAAACTCTGAAACCTCTGTGTTCACTCAGTATCCAGATAAGGGTGGTTGCTGGAGAAACTGGGCAAAGGAAGTAGAAAAGCTTTGAGAAACTGAGTTTCATCCCTGACCAACCCTGTTGGTGGCATGGGATTGTGGAGATTGCTTGTTCTCAGACTGCTGGAAAGGATATCATTAAAATATGAGTTGAACTGCAGTTCATTGTAGATGTTCTGACAAGAATGATGTTCACAAAAGTTGATGGCAAATTGACTTCTGATTTAAATAGGCATTGGTAGCTGGAGAGATAAAATAAGCATGAACATCTCATCCTGGCTATAATCAGGAAAATGGCCTTTGGGTGATCATCTGGCAACACAAAGGACAGACATGAAAACTTTCTGCAGAAAATTTTATTTTCGTACATCTTGATAAAAATTCAGATTTTTCCATATGTTGGATCTATAGCTTCCTATTTTTTTACTTTATTTAGAATATCAGATGCAAACTTTCAGATAGCAAAAGTGTTATTTGACGTTGCCATATATAGAATATAAATATTAAAATATGTGAAGATTTTTGCAGATCAATGAATTTGTTTAATTCTAACTTCAACTATTTCCCGTTGATACAGTTGACAAACAAAAATACTACTGTAAGAGGTCACTCAAGTTATATTGTTTATTATTGTAACTATCATTTTCCAAAGTTTATGCTAAGAAGTTGGGTAAATTTGGTTATGAAATGGAAGAAAAACACAAAGGAATTAAAGAAAATCACGCCAATTAATTTTGAAACATTACTTTATAAACAGACAGGTGTGGTATGAACCATCCTGTGAAATACTCCCCCAAATCCTCCTCTGTTTGACTTTGGTTTTAAAAATGAGCTCTGCAGGCTTTATTAAGCCTTGCTTTTTTGAAGTTAGTGTTATTAAAACATAAAGAGGTAGAAATGAAAAATAAAATCCTGTTTTAGAAAGATTTCGCCAAGTCCCTACTCAGACATGGTCCACAGAAAAGCCCTGCTGTCTTTTAGGGTTGATCCAAAGGTTTGTGCTCACCTCTAGGTACCATACAGCACATTATAAATAGTGTAGTGCTGAAGTGGTGTTTTTTCAAGTGGTTGTAGTGAGGACACATGCTAATTTAGCAAAAGGGAGGAATGTGTTAGACCAGATTATTGGTGGAGGTTGGAGCAAGTAAAGAAACACAAGCAAGAAAACAGCTGATTGTTACTGGAGGTTGAGGAAGACAGGCCAGTTGTCTTTTCACTTGATTTAAAATGTTTGCTCCTTCTGAGGAGGGCTGGAGAGAGGGGAATCCCAAAGGGTATAGAGACTGAAAACTTAATTGGATCAGTCAGTTAAAACTAAGGCACTGGAAGGATCATCTGGGATGTGCTGAGAAAAGTCAGACCTCTAAGACTTGCTTAGGTTGACACATGTGGTGGAAATTAACTCTCCTGTTTATTAGTTGAGCCTCAGAGATGTATTAATCCTTTCAGGTGGGAACACGCAGAATGTAATGCAGAAAACCTGTCTGCTTGTTTGTTCCTGTGAGGTTGGAAAGCCCTGCAAAAAGGGTATTGATTAACTTCCATCCTATAATAACCTACCCAATCCCTCTCATTGGCATGATTCCAATCAGCTCAAAGGGCTTGGTTAATTGACGTCCTGGGGTGGTTTGAGAGTGGATGCTCTGAGGCCAAGTAGGTTTTATATATGTCTTTTACTGGCAGCTTTCTACTAGCTGCTGCTTCAGTGCTCATTCTGTAGCTGTGTAATTGTGCTTACAGGTGGCAGGGACACTGTGCCCTCTTTTTTTGTTTTTTGTTTTTTTTTTTTTTAATCACTGTATCTGTTTAATGTTGTATTAACAGCTGTACAAATTGAATTGATAACGCAGCATCCAATTATAATTTCAAGGAGCAGTTAGGAAGAGTAGCCAGTGTAGAAAAGTTGCATCTTGTAGAGTTTGCTGGTACTGTTAAACTAGGAGGAACTGTGAACATGTTGGCAGTACTGAGTTGCCAGTAATATCATCCTTAATAGCCTGGAGTGCTAAAGGACTGAGAGAAATCAAGTCCTTTAGCACAAGGAAAGGTCTCGAAATAGTTAGGAAATAAAGGACAGAATACTTTATTTAATTTGCATATAGGAAAAATTCAAGTAAGTTCACGTGAGAAGTTTTACTACATGGAACAAAATCTTTAAATGTAAAGGATAATTAAATATGGTAATAGTTAGCACAGGAGAATTATTTAACTGTTTAATCAACATAAGTCTTTAAAAACAGGTAAGGCAAATGCTTGTTTTGATTAGCGAAATGGTGTTTGTATCTGCCTTGCAGGTATACTAGACAACCTCTTGCAGTCTCTTTTGGGCTTGCTCGCTGTTGCTGTTTGTTTTTTTTTTTTTTATTTGCACTTTTACAATTGTTAGAAGAATAATTTTAAAAAACATACCGCCCTTAGAAATGTTCTCAAGCTGCTTAAATAGCTCATCTCTTCATTCTTTAGGCATTCAATTCTTTACAAAGGAAAGACAAAGGAAAGTGCACCCTTGTAACCTTCAGTGTTCTTCATGAAGGGAGTATAACAAACTGAAAGTCACATGTTTTTTATTTGCAGGTCACAGGATGACAGAATTAGGATAGAAAGGATGCAAAACCTCAATTTTGAATACAACCATGCTTTCCAGGTGATTACTGACTTCTATGCAAAAGAAGTGCCTGGTACCACAGGTATGTCATTCCACATGGCTTTGAAGTGCACATCCTGTTGGCTTTTATATCCACGCTGGCTCTCAGCCACCTTTGCTTAACGTTCTGCGCAGTGGGATCTTTTTTTGAGCTTGGAAGAAGTGAACCTTGAAATTCAACTATCTAAATAGAAATGAATATGGGGCTAGCAGTGCTTTTTTTCATAGCTTGAAGATGTGTGTTTAGACAGATTTAAATTCACAGATATATAGCAACCAGGGGGAATTACTCAACATCTGAAATGTTTCTTCAAGTTCACAGAATCCCAGGATATTTGGGGTTAGAAGGGACCTCTGGAGACCACTCAGCCCAACCTGGGCAGGGCCTGCCTGGGCAGGGTCTCCTGGAGCAGGTGACACAGGGATGTGTCCAGTGGGTTTGGGATGTCTCCAGACAGGGAGGCTCCGCACCCTCCCTGGGCAGCTCTTCCAGGCTCTGCCACCTCCATGGAGAGAAGTTCTGCCTCATCTGAGGGGAACTTTTGATTGAGTTCATGGCCCTTGCTCCTTGTCCTGTCACTGGGCACTGCTGAACAGAGTCTGAGACCATCCTCTGACACCCCTTGGGGATATTGGTGTGGATTGATGGGATCCCCTCTCAGTCTTCTCCAGGTGCAGCTCCTGCAGTCTCTGCTCATCAGAGAGATGCTCCAGACCCCTCATCATCTCTGTGACCTCTTCTGCACCCTCTCTAGTATCTCCTGGTCTTTCTTGTCCTAAGGAGCCCAGAACTGGGCACACTATTCCTATGTGGCCCCAGCAGGGCCAAGCAGAGGGGCAGGATCTCATCCCTGACCTGCTGGCCATGCTCTTCCTGATGCATCTTGGGATCTCATTGTCTCTCGTGGCCCCTGCCAGCTCATGGTCAGCTTGTCTCCCACCAGGACTCCCAGGTCTCTCTCTCCACAGAACTGCTCTGTAGCAGGTCATCCCCAACCTGTGCTGGTCTTGGGGTCATCCCTCCCCAGGTGCAAGACCTGCACTTGCCCTCGTTGGGTCTCTTTAGGTTTCTCTCCACCCAACTTTCTAGCCTGTTCAGGTCCCTCTGAATGACAGCACAGCCTTCAGGTGATCAGCCCCTGCCCCAGTTCTGTGTCACTGGGAAATCACAAGATCATTGAGTTTGGAAAAGCCCTCCCAGCCCATGGAGTCTAGCCTGTGGCCGATCCCCACCTTGTCACCCAGCCCAGAGCACTGAGTGCCACATCCAGTAGTTCCTTGGACACCTCCAGGGATGGCAACTCCACCACCTCCCTGGGCAGCCCCTTCCAATGCCTGACCACCCTTTCCAGCAAGAAATTCCTCCTTATGTCCAACCTGACCCTCCCCTGGCACAGCTTGAGGCTGTTTCCCCTTGTCCTGTCCTTTATTGCCTGGAAGCAGAGCCCGACCCCTCCTTGGCTCCACCGTCCTGTCAGGGAGTTGCAGAGAGTGGGAAGGTCCCCTCTGAGCCTCCTTTTCTCCAGGCTGAGCCCTCCCAGCTTCCTCAGCCACTCCTGGTGCTCCAGGCCCTTTCCCAGCTCCGTTTCCTTCCCTGGACACACTCCAGCCCCTCTCAATGTCCTTCTTGAACTGAGGGGCCCAGACCTGGACACAGGACTTGAGGGGCCTCAGCACAGGGACGGGCACTGCCCTAGGCCTGCTGGACACACTATTCGTGATACAAACCAGGTGCCACTGGCCTTCCTGTCCACCTGGGTGCACCTGGGCTCATGCTCAGTTGCTGTCTCCCCCCAGCTTTCCAGCCCTTCTTTCACCAGTCTGGAGTGTTCCATGGGACACAAGGGCAGGAGCTGGCACTTGGTCTTGTTGACTCTAGCACCGTTGCTTTTGGCCCATTCATTCAGCCTGTCCAGATCCCTCAGCAGAGCCTTCTTGTCCTCCAGCAGATAACTCACTGAGGGTCCATTCCATCCCTTCATCTGGGTCATTGATAAACAAGTTGGATCAGGCTGGACCCAGCATTGATCCCTGGCTGCCACTGACTACAGGCCTCCAACTGGATTCTGCTCTGCTGATCACAACCCTCTGAGCTCTGCCAGTTCTTCATCCCCCTCACTGTCTATTCATCCAACCCACATTTCCTGAGCTTTCCTACAAGGGGTTTATGGGAGACTGTGTCAAAAACCTTGCTGAAGTCGAGGCAGACCTCTCTTTGCTCTCCCCTCATTGACCCATCCTGCCATACCATCATAGATTAGTCAAAGAGGATTTCCGCTTGATGGGTCCATGCTGAGTACTCCTGATGACCTGCTTCTACATGCTTGGTGATGACCTCCAGAATGCACTGTTCCACCACCTTTCCAGGGATAGAGGTGAGGCTGACCGGATGGGACTTTCCCAGGTCCTCCTCCTTGCCTTTTTTGAAGATGGGGGTAACATTCTTGTCACTGAGTTCTAAAGTTCTTGTGTGTGTGAACTCTCTAAGAGCAGAAGAGCAGCTTTAAAAAACATCTCTGAAAAAAACTTAAATAAATGGATTTTTTAAAATACTCTTTTACGTTGTGATATCATGGAATGAGTTTTCCTGGTTTTGCACCTGGAAGAGAGACTGTAGTAGGGCACTGTGCAAAACGCTATCCAATATGAATGGCCTTTTCACAAAAGTGTCAGAATTCCATTCTTAGTTTGTATATTTAGATGTCTGTTATGCCAACAGTTTGTCATTTTTTTATGAAGAAAAACCTGTGGAGTCAAATGTTTTCTGTTTCATAATGTGTTTACACAAATGCAATGTTCTACATTCTTTGGAACAGTAAGCGTTATTTTGGAGCCTTGTTTTATGTTGATTTATAGATCTCATAAAACACTGCACGTGCATTGCAGATTTCTATTATAATAAATTGAAAAAGAGATTGTGCTTTTTCTACAACACATTAGTAGTAGACAATGAGTTAACAAGAAAATAAAAATGTAACAAGAAAAATTATTTTTTTTAGGTCCTCAAAAACTATCTGTAATACTAAGCTTGGATAAGCCTGTTATTTGCTCTCTGGCAGCAGTAATTGCATACCTCAAAGAATTTAATTTGGAAAGGATGCTTTACGATCCAAGGTAAGTTGCCTTACATAAACTTCCAGTTCAAATCACCACTTTCTGTAAGTGTTAGCAGGCAGCTTCCCTGACTGTAATGAACACACCTACTAGAGTGATAAACATAGTCTTTGTAAAAATTATACCTTACTTTTGGTCTCCTAATCAGAACTTGAAAGAATCGAGTGATTTCTTTAAGTGGTGTTTCATGAAGATCTTCGTGAAATGTTTGGGTATAGTCATTACTGTCAGTAATGTGAATTAACATGTAGTGCTGCCAAGTGTTACTGAAAACAAACAAGGTGCAAAAACTGGTAAATACTAGGGAGGAAATTTTAAAGTTTGTTTATATCAGCTATCACATCTCACCTCAGTAAACCAAATACAGGGCTTTTTTGGGCAGCTTTAAAAAAAATTAGTATTGTAACTTAGCTTTGCGGTTATTGTTTTATTTTGCCAGCAGTGCGTAAATAATTTTTTCTTTCTGTAGTTCTGGAAGCAGGTACAAATGCTAGTGTGTTATGTTTAGACAGTACTCATCAGGTCTGTTTGAGTTGGCAAATCTAGTTATCAGTTATAAAGAAAACATGAATTCAGCATATACTGGGTTTCTGGAAAATCCCTGGACCATTACCATTTGTGCAAAGTTACTACAAAACCACACAGACATGGGTATAACCTTGTTTTCCCTTAAGCAATCCCAACCCTTTGGTTTATTAGATATGCTCAAACGAGCACTCAAAATTTGTGACAGGATTATGCAGGTGGAAGCAAATGAAAACAGAAAGATATCACTGCTCAAGCTTCTCTTATCCTGTGTTGCATTGAGTATAAAACACTGCTAACATACCTTGCACAAGCATAAAACACTGCTATTCTACCTGGCTCAAGTTTGAAAATACCATTGGGGCTTATTAAATACAACAACTTTAGCTGCTGTGGATCCTGTGCAAAGTATTCTCCTGGTTGTCCCACTATTCCTCTGTTCCGTAAGTAGGCAGGATTTAGTGAAGTCAGTCTGGCTGCAGACTGGAAACTTAGAAATATGTCATTTGTAGATCATTCACATGTTGTATGAGTTTCAAGCCTGATTTTGAAAGGCTCCCTACATTGCTAGTTTAGTTAAAATGCAGCTGCATTTAAAAATGCAGATGCCAGCTTTAAGCACTTTTTCACATGTCCACTAAAATGTTTGGAAATTATATATATATGGGTGTTCTGGATTTTGGGGTGGATTTTCTTCCTTAAATTGCCCTTCTCCACTCCAAGTACTATTTAAATGTTAACAAAAAGTTTGATGGGCTTATAGAGCTAATGAGGAAAGAATTCCTGGAGCATCTTCCGTGCATCATCCATCAAGGAGCTGATCTGTGGTGCTCTTGCTCATCCTCTTTGGTTGACTTTTTTTTATCCTTTTATGTGTGGGTTTTTGGTTGGTTTTTTGTGGGTTTTTTTGTTTGTTTATTTGGGCTTTTGTTTATTTGGGTGGGGGCTTTGTGTTTTTATTTATTTTTTAATATGCTTGCATGGATGGAGAAATCTTTTCGTAGAGTTTCCAAAGAAGAAAGTGGACTCCAAGGAAATACCATTTCATGGTCACTGCTGTCACAGTGCCCTTTGTGCAATCACACATGAGGTGAATGTTCTTTCACCTGGAGGAAATGCAAAATCCACCTTTTATGTAGAAGTAATTCAGTAGTAGAGGAGAAGGCATCAGCAGCGTTAAAGATAGTGTGTCTCCAGACCTCCCAATTGGAGGCCAGAGTAGACCAGCACGCAGGATCACTCTTGAGGAGAAAAGACAACGCAGAAAGAATCGTGTCTTGCAGAATATACCACCTAAGGTGTATATTAGAGCACACTGATTAAAAACACCTTGTATCATTCATCATACCAATGTGCTGTGCCTTTTGCAATCGGACATGCCTGTCTTGTATTGCCCTTTTTAGCCACCAACGTGCTTGTAACAAACATGGGTAGAGCCCTCCCCAAATCTTCGTTCACGAAGCCTAACCATGATGATGATGATGATGATGAGAGGAGAAACCTCATTGTCTGAAGGCTTGTGTAGGAGCACTCAGTCACATTTGTAAGAGCTGCATCCTAAAATCAAGAACAATTATCGACTGGGAAGGAAAAGTGCTAATTCTTGGCATTGACATTTGCCTGCTGAAGGTTGTTCTAATGGATTTTTTGTGAATGTATGAGCATCTGAGTGAAAAGGCAAAGAACTACTTAATATCCTGTTGATGCTCTGTGAAGAAATAAAATACATTCTTTGAGAAACCTTTGTTGTTGGGAGCTTGGATTCCGCTGTGTTTATTCCTAAAACCTTTATGCTTTGACTACCTGATACTGAGTTCTACTTGCTATTTTTAGTGTATCACAGGTATCGACATAGTGAGACAAATACTGAGGCAAATTCCAATACTTTTCCTCATGCCAGTGAAATATTATCTAAAAACTGAAAACTGAAAGACTTCTAAGCAAATCATGTCAGGCTCATGAATCTCCTGAATTAGGAAATAGAGAAGAAATACTTCCATTGCACTCTCAAGCAACTTAAAATTCCTAGAAGAATTCAGGTCAGTGAGCATGAAGTTGGAGTTGTGAGATAGTTTTTGGTTTTTTAAAGTAAGTGACACAGATCTGGATGAAGACCTATTTGATAGGAAGAATGACAGAAAAATTTATTACACCTCTGTACCTCCTTTGGATAAACACTCTTCTCACAGCTGAAAAGAATTCCATCTCTGCTTATTAGTAGGAGTTAAGAAACATCATGTAAGTGGTAACCAAACCTCATTGGTGGGGGGGAAACAAGTTTTGTTCTAGTATTTAGGTTAAGCTTTTAAATCTACTTTTAAAATTGTAAATAAAGCAAAATATTAAAAAGAAATAAAGATTTCTGTCACAGCAGGACTTCTAGGTATGACTAGACTGCATTAGAGTTCTAATAGCGAGTAAAAATAGATTTAATAATGAATGATACAAGGTGTTTTTAATGAATGTGCTCTAATACCTTTACGTACTGAGAGACCTTGATTAAAGGCTTTTGTCAAGAAGTTGGTGCACATCTAGGAGAGGTTTTCAAATACATTTGAGTACCCAGTTTTGTTTGAAAAAATCATCATTTGCATAGCAGTTGCTGGGAAGATGTGTCTCAGTGTATTTTGATTTTACCTATATGTTTTCCAGCATATTGGAGATGGAAGAAAGAGACTGTAGTTTGTAAACTTTGAACAGTGATGGATGATCTTCCATAAATGCAGGGAATGGTACACAACACAAAAAGGGATTCAGATCAGAAGTTCTAGCCTTGTGGCACTATTCATTAATGTTTTCAAACCTGGTTAATTAAATACAAAACATAGTCTGGACTTGATATCCTTTGCTACTTAGACTGTGGTAATGTCTTTCATACCTAACAAAAACTATGCTTCTGCAAAATGGAGAGACTTGTTTTTACTTCTTAAACCTTTTAGGGATTCCTGCAACTTTTGTCTTTATAGGTTTATTCTGTGGTTTATTCACCCTCAGAGGCCTCGAAGACATGACCTCTAGAGGTCTGTAAAAGGTAATTGAGCAAAGATCTGCTGCTTTCAGTACAGTGCCTTGCATCTTCACTCAGAAATTTTACAGATTTCCAGAATTAAAGTAGTTGAAAACTACTTTTCTGAATACCATGCATTCACTTAGGCTGGGTTACTGAGTATGAAATTACATATAATATTTCCTGTGCAGAGAATAATTAATAAAGCATTAAAAAGGCTGTTCACTGCAAGCTTCTCTGCAGGCAAAATCACAGAATGGTTTGGGTTGGAAGGGACCTTAAAGCCCATCCAGTTCCACCTCCTGCCATGAACAGGGATACCTTCCACTATCCCAGGTTGCTCCAAGCCCCATCTAACCTGGCCTTAGATATTTCCAGGGATGGAACAGCCAACAGCATCTCTGGGCAACCTGTGCCAGGGCCTCACCACCCTCACAGGGAAGAATTTCTTCCTAAAACTGAATGTCTCCTATTTTAGTTTAAAGCTCTTTCCCCTGTCACTAACTGCCCCTGTAAAAGTCAGTCAGTCTCTTTTTTTATAAGCCCCCCATAAGTACTGCCAGAATGACCAAGATGATCCAGTTTCAGCAGTAACACATTAGAATGGAAGCCTGAGGATGTAGTTTACTGTCCTAAAGCAGTCACTGCAACCCTTTCATACTCATTGTCTTGTGTGGTTCTGCTCTGAAAAGTCATTTTATGGTATAATACTCCTTGTCATGAGTATTCCCCATAAGGTTCCTAAACTTTCCTAGAAGTTTTGTTTGTTTCCTCTTTTTCTTTTTCTAAGCCCAGAAATGACATGATCCTACCTTGTTGTGCTCCTCAGTTGCCATCTGTTTCCATCACTTCTGTTTTGTCCTCTTTGAGTGCTTGAGACTATTGCAAGTCTGTTCTTTGAAACTCAGGTCACACTGTCACCTACAGAAGGAGTTATGTCTTTGTGATCCGGTCAAAATGGTCTTTGAAGGGTCATTTTTAGTGGTTCAAGAGATGGCTGATAGCAGTGCGTTAGCATTTCACACAAGGATTGTGTTGAGATCTTTGCTGCAAAACCAGCACTGACTTAATAGTTGTTTACAGCCTTATTCTTATGCCATTTGATCTCTAAATTCCCTACAAAGAGTCTTTTTTTTTCACATTTTTACAAGTTCTGATTCCAAGCTGAAGGAAGATGAGAGGGTGGAAGCAAAACATGTTCTGAGCTGTGACATCTGGAATTATTGGTTGGGTATACACTGCTCTTGATCTTGACTATTTTTCATATACTCCAAGCTCTCAATTGCCAGGATTAATAGCAGAGTGAAGTAACTCAGATAAAGAAAACACCTGGATAATGTAAGACACACATAATTTATGCTGTGAAAACAACTTTTGCTTGTCTGATTCTGAATGAATAGTAAATACACTGTGCAGTGGAACAGAGTGAGTTGTCTTCATATACTCCTGAGCAACCTTGCTGTGAGCAGTGTGGTCTGTGTTAAGTGCTGTAAAGCCAGGAGAAGTGGGGAAGCACAAGAACCAGTAAATCACCTAAAAGAATCCTTTTCACTTTTGAGAAGAGGTGGAAAAGCTTGATTCTCACCCATCTGGGTTTAAGAGGTCACAGACTCGAATTGTGGCAAATAGGAAAACTGTTGTTTAGGTGAGTCTTGGAAGCAGAAGAGGTAGTTTCAGAAGAGCAGATGGGATTTGTTGTTGGCTGTAGGCATGGGGAACCAAGCAGAAATCATTCCTAATTAATTTTTGCCAGCATCAGCAGTTGTGACTAAAGATAATAAAAGGAAGTATTGTTTTGTTGCTTACAAGTTTGTGTACTTTGGAAAGTACTGTGGGTTTTGCCTCCAGTTTTGTTTTGCTGGTCAGTTTTACTGGTTGCTGGAGTAGCACACAAAGCAGAATAATTATGACTATCGATACAGTTCTGAATCAGCTGTACTTCCAACCAATCATTCTTCAGGGCCCTCAGTTTAATCTGCTTTTTTTTTAATTCTGTGAAAAATACTTCAAATTTGACCCATTATTTAGGAAGAAATTTGCCAGCAGGCCCAAACACCTGCATACAACATAAATATATAACAATAGTCTCTAAGTATTTCATGTTTCTGGAAGTTTTGGTACTGTTTTTGTTTTTAATGTAGCAGCTGTGTGTGCCTAACAGAAAAGTTAGAGCATTCGCGTGCTTCTCCAGAGGATTTAAAATCGAATACACTGAAAACAATTCTGTGAAAGGTCAAGAAAAGAATTTTAAATCCTGCCCAGCAAGTTGTTCTGCTTAGTCTAAGACAATAAAGAGTGTCCTAGATTCTGTGCAAAGGGCAGTCAGCAGTATGATTAACCCAGACAATCATGACTTCGTTTGTCAGAAACATTCAGTGAGGATCTTGCACTTCATGGTTCAAACTACAATGTGTGTGTGTTTGAGACTGAAATAATTTTCATATCTAATAAGATTACACATCTAACACAATTATTTTTTTAGTGTTGATTCTAAAGCAACACAGCCTTTGGGTTGGTCTCATCTAGTTCTGTAAAGGAGTATCAAAAAGTCCAGTAATTTTGGTCATGGTTATTTCACATCAAAACCAAAATCATACAATGTAAATGTACTGTATATTTATTTTCCTAAATAATTGTACTGGTAGCAGTAGTAATAAAAAAAGAATATGTGTTTTGATATGCTTTTTTGATGGTGAATTGTGTTAAAAGTCTGTTCCACTCTTGAAGTATTGATTATTTGTCCTGTCTCTGCTCTAGTTGTAGACTGAATAAATTAGCCATTTAGTGTCAAAGGATTAGATAACAGGAGAGCTGGATTTTATTCTGAGCTTTGTCAGAGTCATTGCAGGAGACTGGGAAGTGAGTCTTAAAAAAAAAAGTGATTTTTTTTCCAAACAGTAAGTTAAAATAAGTTATTAGTATTCAGTTCTTTTATTTAAATAGATTTTGATTTCTTACTTGACTTTTTTTTAATTTATTTTGCATAACTAGTGAATTATCTAACATGAGGAACTTGGCAGTGTTTCACTGTTCTGTCTGTGCCTGAATTAAAGATATAACCTATGAAATTCCTCTCCCCAGAAATTTCAAACAGTTGTCCAGTGAAACTGAATACATGACAATTAATGGGACAACAATGAAAAATCTTGAAATTTTGCAGAATCAGGTAAGGACATACATAATTTTTTTTGATAAATGCCGCCTTCCCAATGAAATTGGTTAAATTACTTGCAAATTTCACCCAAAAAGCTTAAATTATTTTAAATGGGATTAGACTGAAGGTGGATCACATTTTCAGAGGCATAAATCAAAGTTCATCTGTACTGTCTTTTAGTATGAGTTAGGAACCTTATTGTACTTGGACTAACAAAGAACTTTACTTGAGCAACTTAAGTTCTTGAGCAAGAACTGCAGTCGAGGGATATGTCTGTAGTAGGGTCTGTTCTTTTACTCCTGCTGAGAGCTTTATGCACAGAACTTAACTCCACTTGCTTAATTTATTCCAGTCAATTACTGAAAAGATTTTCTGGCTAAAGGAAAAGCATACTTGAATATCTTACGACTCTTGGAGGTACTTTATGTAATGTATTGTTGGTGGGTGAGATTGGTAAATGAACATGCAGTTAGCATATCTTAAAACCTAAACAAAATGTTCTATATAACATGGTGGAGATACTTCCACTGCAACACCGACTGCTCAGCTAAAAATAATGAAGATGTTTTTGTTATTTTAGATGGACATGAAAACAAAAGGAAGTCTACTCTGGGTCTTGAATCATACTAAAACTTCCTTTGGACGTCGAAGACTGAAGAAATGGGTGACCCAGCCTCTCATGAAATCCAGGTGAGATAGTTCTTCATCCTGGGCTAAATCTGTGTTTATAGTGGTGTTGAATGTATTTGTTTGTCCTGAAGGCCTGAGATCCACAGGGGAGTTTGCATAGGAAATTATACGACAGAAGATGTGGATGTTATAAATTGGTTTGAAAAGCTTAAACTGCTCTGTTTGGGCACAGATAAATAGTAGTGGGTTTGGACCAGGTTAGAAATTCCTTTGCAGAAATCAGATTTGGTACAATTCTAATTCAGTATCCTTTTTGACAATGAACGAGGATGACCCAGTATCGGAGGTTGTTTTATTCCTAAACTTGCCAATAAATGATGGATGTCTTCCTTGCTTCACAAATATTTACATCCTTACTATGTTTAATTTCTTCTACAGTAGCTGTGGATGTTTTTGTTATCTCTGTATACAATGGGAAAGTGTTCCTTTTTACTAGTTATGAAATGTGATGATTGTTTGGTCACTCCTGTATTTTGACCTGTCCTTTTTTTATCAGTGCTTTAGAAATGTTTTGTTTTGTGACACTGTCATGCAAGTTTTCACTTGCCTTGGTTTTGAAAGGGACTCCATCATATCTGGTTTATCTTTGCAGACTTTACTGGAGTATTGTACCTGAATGTGTAGTAATTGACAGTATTGACTCCCTTGAATGTTTTTTCCCTACATTTTAATTTTTTGGATCTGTTCTTTTAAATGTGCCTTTCCTGAGCATTGTCCATGTAGAATTTACTTAATTGTAAATAATTTCTTTGTTCCCTTCAGCTGTAGCATATAGAAAATCCTTTTGCGTTGGTTATCTAAAATATTTTTCCCTTCTGTTTTACTTTTGTAAATATATTAAACACTTTTTTTGTTTATTATTTTTCACCAGTTTAAAATGGTGAGGTAATTCAGTGTTTTAGCATCTTGCTGTTGTTGGTAATTTACAAATGTTTCTTCAGAAGGATTTTTTTTTCCTTGACCAAATTTTGTATGTGAAAGCACTGTACTTCTGAAGCATCACTGCTTAATTTTCTTATTAGCCTTTTGTAATAACTTAATTTCAGTGTGCCTTTCTTTTTTTTAATTGTTCTTTCATATGTCTTACCCACTTCCAAAAGGCCTTTGATGTAACTATCTTAAAAAGTACTGGGCTTAATGGAAGTTAATTAGGGCCTTGTGTTCACCTTAAAAGCATGTAGGCAGAATTTCTGAGCCACTTTGTAGGAATAAATGGAAATAAATTAGTTTATTTCTCTTCCTGCCCTTATGACCTTTTGGGATTTGTGGAGTTGTCAGCGGAGGGAGCCAGAGCTCTGGGGATGGAGAGATGGGGAAGACCTGCCTCCAGCCATTTTGCCCCTAAATCATCCCCTGTGTGATCCAGGAGGTGAAATACCATTCACAGTAAAACAGAGTCCTTTTCCAGGCAGGTAGAAAACTGCTTGCCTGTGGACTCCAGGCATTCTTTTTTAACCAATATATTTAGTTTAGATTCTCCCTTGCCTCAGTGCAGAGCCAGTTCAAAAGTTTGTAGTCTTGTTTTCTTGTGTTATTCCTTTTCTCTTTCCTGCTTCTAGAGAGTGATGCTTGACATTTTTCAGGCTTCTGTGGCTGGAGATGACAGTGCTCCTCAGCTGAAGTTAGAAAAGCTACTTTGCTCTGTGTATTTCTCCCTTTCTGACTCTAAGTTGTAATTTCAGGTACTTAGTGCATCAGACATCCGGTAATATTGTTCCCAGTAATGCACACAAATGCACTTAGAGAACATTTTGTAATTGTAATTCACCTGAGCCTCCTGGAGAGACATTTTCAGAGGAAGTCAGGTTTCTGCACTGCATCTTTCCTGGTATGTGGGTAGGTGTATCAAAAAGTGAGAGAGTGTAATTACTGCTTTATGCCTTAGAGTTGAAAATCACTTGGAATGATGACTAAACTTCCTGTGGAGAAGCCATACCTTAGGTTGAATAAAGGTAAAATGTGTACAGACAGCTCGTTTCGGCAAATTTGAAGATACTCTTCAGATGATTGGTGATGTAGTACATGTAGAAACAAGATTTGTACATTTGTTAAAAAAAGAAAAGTCAAAAAAAGGCTTAACCGGGAAAGATGTAATGTCCTCACTTACTCACCTGGCTATACAAAGATGATGAGGCAAGAGTGGATCAGTCATTGATGACTGAGCTTTTTAAGAGGAATCAGGAAAGTATTTTTTTGCAGAAGTTGTGTATCTGTGGATTACAGAAACCTTCTCTTACCTTTGACATTCAAGTTCCATCCAGTGCCTTCCTTGCCTGACTTTGTAAGGGGAAGGAAAGAAAAGGAAATGGAAGGCTTGGAACATTTCTTAGTGAATGAAATATGCAGCTTCCTAGTCAGGCAGTGGAGTGTCAGCAGGGTAAGGAGTAGAGCTGTGTATTATCACACTCAGCAGCCAAAGGGTTCAGGACTGGCCTCAAGATACATATTGTAGGACAGTGTGATCTTTGTGTCTTTGTCTATGTACAACATTTACAGATAGTTTATTTCCTAATGCAAAATAAATCTCAGAACCCTTGAAGTGGATATGAAAGTCGCTGTTTTTTCAATGGCTACAGGAGAAGGAGAAAGAAAAGCTTCACACAGGCCTTGTTGAGCAAACCTGGCTCTGATTTGCACCTCTTGTTTTGTTGTGTATCATGAGAATGTTGTCCTGTGGTGGTGGTAACAGGGGAAAGGGCGAGAAAGTTGTTGCCCTGCACATGAACAATCTGAGACCTCATCTCTGCAAAATGTGTCTTTCCTTGTCTCTGTTACATCCATGGCTGCCACCTCCCACCTTCATCTTTGCAGTTCCCTTTCCTAGGTGTTATGACTGTCTCCAAGACACAGCAGTGCTGCTTGCCCATCTTCAGTCCAAACAGAACAGACAAATAAATACTGCATCCTGGGTATTAATCTGTGTCTGTGCCTTGCTCAGCTGCTTTTTTTTGCACAATTTGTAGGAAATCTGCTTTCTTGAGATCAGACACCTTCCTTTGTCTTGTCAGGGTTGGCTGGAGTTGAACAGAGAGTTCAGAATTGATGTTTAAATCTCAAGGAAGATAAAAAATGGTATGCATTTAGAGAGTTGCTGAAAACATTTCAGCCTTTGCTTTGTGGTTTACAAAACCCAAAATTGTAATTACCCCTCAAAAACTAGATTTCCATTTTTTCTCCCCTGTGGTTCTAGTATACTTTGTCCCCCATTTCCTCCAGTTCTGGATGAGATTATGCTTTTATTGACGTGGAATTGGAGCCTTGTAGGATGGTACTGATAATTACCATTAGTCTGAATACACTCTGTCTGCAAGAGCATAGAATGACTGTAAATTTAGGAAATTCAGAACTGCACAGTTCAGGACTGCTGACAGTTCCTTATGTACTATTAAAGAAGAGGAAGAGTGTAAATTGGTATTACTAATGCAACATGACTTTTATTTGGAGGATATGTACTGTAGAACAGGGTAGAAGAGGGTCTCTATAGTGATGTTGGCAATGACATCTTTTTAATATAAAATATTATCTTGTTCTAAATACTCTCACTTTGAATGCAATGAATGCTGTTTTATTTATACTTCAATGCATGAAGTACAATCCTAAAGGAAAGTCTTTCAAGTTTGACTTTGGTCTTGTTCCCATAATTAAAATGTTGGGCAGTAAAACAAACTTCCAAAAGGTCCTTGAAGAAACCAGTTTAATTCACAGTTAAACTGGTTGCCATTTGATACCATCATCATCCACAGCAGGATTAGAATATACTTCTTTTTTTTGTAGTAGTGATTTATGAATAAAATCCACCAATCCTACAGCACAGCTAAATTTTCCTCCTAAAAATAATGATTTTATAGCATCAGTGCCAGTATAAAATGCACAAATGCAGGTTACAGCATATGCCTGAGATCTCAAAATTGTTGTAGAAAAGAAAAAGATTGCAGCATCATCACATGTGTTCATTCATTTTTGCTAGCTGTGTTTTGGTCTCATTGAATGCTGTGTCTAATTGTGTCTATCAATGGAGCAATCAGGCCTTCATTCACGGTGGCTAAAGTGGCCAACCGTTCCCTTTTTAGGCACAAATAGCTGAAAAACATTGTGTGTGAACATAAACAAAAGTGTTTGATTGCCATTTGCATATCTTTTAACAGATGTGAAGATAAAGTTTAGAGTACTTGTATGTTGCTGTTAAGTATTTGAGATCCATTCAAGAATATTGTCCTGCATATTTATTTAGGGGAACGCTGGACCTCTCTGGAGAGGCTTGAGACATTAGGAGTTTGGAGAGTAAAAAGTGAAAACCAAGTGAGCAGATCCAGAAGGATGTTAATTTTTTTAGGTTTCACTTAAATTTCACTCTAGTAAATGTGATATAGTTACCCTTGTTTGTACTTTTTTCATTGGTGCTCATGTGTGAAATTCCAGTGGTCATTCCAGCAAATTTTAACAAATTTAACAAATCTGGATTCATCCCATGAAGTTAACCTGTTTCTAACTTAGATACTTGGGTAAAAAAGCCTCGAGGGGAAGGGAGCACCCAAGATCTGTACATGCAACAACAGAAGTCAGAGGGTCTGCAAAAGTTAATAAAGTTTTATTAATAAATTACACGCTTGGCAGGGAAATTGTGTGTTAGTCCCTCATCTCCTGTTGTAAGCACATGGCAGTGGGGTTTGAACAGAGGGGTAAGGTGGAAGGGAAGAGTGATAGGGAGATGGATTAAAGAGGGGGAGAAAGAGAGGGAGAAAAGAGAGGTCACCAGTCCGGGCTCCAGCATTGGTGCAGCTGGTAGGGTGTGCAGGGTCCTGGGGTTGTGCCCAGGCTTTGAGGGGGCACCTTTTTACAGGTAAGTTTTGCTGTCCTGGAGATCAGTTCCTTGCTTTCTATGCAAATTAGTTCTCGTATGCAGTCTGTTCCAGACCCTTCTGGAGATAGGTCAGAGGCTTTGGGGGCATTTGGTGATTTTGATCCCTCCGTACAGTCCATGCCCACTTCCTGGCATCATTCCTGCACCTGTGCTGTGTTGTCCTTCTCTCCAACAGACAAACCAAGGACATTTGTCCCGGAAGAGTGCTGCCCTTCCTCCGCATGGCCCCTTCTCCAGCCACAACAGTCACTGTCTGGCATTGCCAGCGTCCCTGGCTGGCTCTGGAGCCAGCCAGCTGTCAGTTTGACACACACACTTTATCCCTCTGACCTTCCAGCTTGTGCAATGAGCCAGTTTGTCATCTGCTTGTTCTTTAAAAAATCATACACAGCGTATAGATTGCACTGTGGTAATTCTACCACGGCCTTGGGTTTTGATGGCATTAGTTGCTTGTCGTGAAAGGGAGTGGTCTGAAGCATAAAACACTCTGTACAGTTTAATGTGATCTTTAACTTAATCAACTCATCCAAAGTCTTCATTCACGAACCATGTTCTGAAGGAAAGTCAGAAAAAAAGCATATTGTGTGAGTGAGTAACTTAAATAATATATTTTCATTCTTTACAATGCTGTAGTTAGGAGGCTGCTAGGCTTTGATTTAGATAATATAGTTTATGTAAAGTAGCGTTTGTTGTTTCATAGCCTTCATTATGTTTTTTAAGGGTTGAATTCCTGTGATTGACAGTTCTGCATATCACTGTGGTTTCTAAACAGATTTAATAGAATTAATTTCAGTTGTACACACTGTACTTGAGCTATGTCCTTAGCATGAGGAATGGACTCATACTATGTGCATTTATTGTAAGTTAATAGACTTCTGATAAATTTGTATTTATTTACCTTGTATAAAAATAAAAGGTTATACAAATGAAAATGTTCTGTCATTCTTATATAGCAGCTACATTATCAATTTCACTCTCCCTCAAATGTAATGCTATATTATCATATCTAAAAATGTCAGGTTTGCTTTGCTGTAGGAGAGATCAGCAGATCTGTTACCACTCCAGCAACCAGCAAGCCTATTTAGACTGCTCAGATGTTAATGCAGAGCAATGCTTTTGGATCTGCAGCCTTCTGCTTTGTCAAAATAATTTTTAATTTGGGATTCAAATATCTATGTATTTTCTAATATTCTATATTGTTCACATATTTAGCAGCAGAATAACACAGGGAAATATGTTGTTATTTCATTTCAAGTAGTTCTTTTCAATGACTAGAATAAAAATTCTGCAGGTAGATTTTGTTCTGTTTAAATACACTGCAAAGTGATTTTAGTATTGTAATAATGATGCTATTCTTAGATGGGGAGTACAGCAGAAGTAAGTGTATTGCTTTTAGTCAACTGAATTATGTTACATTATTTCTCTGAAGACTGTTTGGAAAATTGGATAAAGCTCAGATTGCCAACATGCTTTATACAGAAGAGAAAGAACAGACTAATACTGCACCTAAGTAGAGCATGAAGTAGTAGCCAGTTTGGCTGGCTGTTGAGTTCCCTTGTATAGTGTTAGATTCAGATTTTCTGGGGGTGAAATTCTTTTCCAGACCATGTAGAGATTAGAAACCCCAGACTAATTCATATATGCTGAATAACTCTGCAGTGCAGAATAAATTTGTTTAGCAGCTGATCAGTGCAATATGTATATACTGGCCCTCAACAAAATGTTCATTAATTTAAGTATATGTATTTAAAGTTTAAAAGCATACTTTGAAATTCATCATCTGTTTTTATCATCTCATCCCAGTCCCCCCTTCCTCATATTTCACACAATTTTTTTACTGTACTTCCTGTTTGAAATAGGAATCCCACTATGTTTTTTTACAGGTGGGAAAAAAATGGGTCATTTGGTACTGAATGCCATTTTTTTGACCCTTTCTTGTTTGTAGGATTAAAGCAGAAAAACTGTATGGATGCTTAGTTTTAGATTACTGGAGCTCCAGTAACACAGCCATATGTGAGGATGATTAAAGTGCAGATTAAGCTTTGTAGGGAGAAGTTTTTCAAATATCTGCATCTATTTTACATATTACTGCAAGTTTTTAGTTGACCCAGATATAATAGCGCTGTTTAAATTAAGTGACAGAGTTGTGCTGCTTACAATGCTTTTTATAATAAAAAATACCGGTTATTATCTTCTTTAAGGTACATGTGCTTATAATTTAACAGTTCAGTACTCCTTCATGCACAGGAGTGTTCCATGATCTCAAGTACAGCAAACTTTAATAATTTTCCATGAAAATGTAATTGTGACTGGTGACGCTGACCTTTTAGGTATCAGTGTAACTGTTTGCTGGCTTTAGAACTGTGCACTCAGGGTGTTTTATTACTCTGTCATTGATACTGACACTTCTCCATTCTCTCTCCATTATCCAGCTGTTGCTGAGAGCATCTCACTAACTGATGCACAAGGCTTAAATCTCTGCCTGGCATGCCCTGTGTGGGTGCCAAGAGCCTGATGTTTGGTTGTTTGGTTGCATAACTGTGACTCTGTCAGCGCACACCAGATCCGTGATCGTGGCTCTGGGATCAGATTTAAGGCTTAGCTCTGTCCTTTGCTGTTGCTGCTGCTTCTAGGTCTCCTGGCTGCCCAGAGGAACAGGATAAATGTTTGGCTGAGTGCGTTTGGCACTGCTGGAGGAGTGGAGCAGGTATTCTTGTGACCTGCAGCAGGGCTGCCAGGCACAGCCTGTGAGGTCTGACTCTTCTGTTTCCCTCAGGGTTGGGGGGAAAAAGCAGTCTTTTAGGATAGTGGAGTATTTTTGGTGCTCTGGTGCTATCAAGGAGTCTGCTGTGCAGTTCAGAGATAACAGTGAGTTCCCAAGGTGTCCAGGGTCCAGGCACCAGAGGCTGTCCTCAGTTCACACAGAGGCACTGGAAGGTCCATCTACCTGTGGTCCAGGTGGATGGTAGGACAGTGCAAATCCTGGTGTTGTACAGCAGGGCAACTCTTGGGATGAAGGTGTGTCATTTGTGGCAGAGGAGGGGATGATTTGGCTGCTTTGGTATAAAGCAGTGTTGTCACTGGAAGAACCCCGGTGCTCAGGCGCTGTTACATTTATGTTTGTCTGAGTGCACACTCATTCCTGATGTTCTCCCTTTCACATACAGTACAATAAAAGTTCAAGAACTCTTAGATTTAGCTGTCTTCAGGGCCAGAGGCCTCTGTCTGCCAGGCTGTTGTAATGTCTGCAGCCCGTGGAGGTGCCTGATTTCACTGATTTCCTCATGGGCAGCATTTGGTAGCAGTGGAAAGTGGCACATCAGTTCTGCAATAAAAGCCATGGCCAAGACAGGCAATTTCCCCAAAATCATATATTTTTATTGCATCCTTGCTTCCCATTCCTCTGTGCTGGCTGAGCTCAGAGCATCTGACTGGTCCAGGAGAACAGGTGTGGGGGGGTTTTGCACACACTTGGCTGGTGTATGAAGTGTTGGTATTTTGGTATCAAAAGACTGATTTCTCTGTAAACTGCATGGTGGGGATGAACACACATGTTTTGGATACATCTATTTACCCCTACTCTCAGTCTTTTCCTAGAAAGCAGCAATAAGGCAATTTGGTTGCACAAAAAGAAGAGATGGAGTTTACCTTATCTCTGCACTCTACAGCCCATCCATGCATATGTTGGAAATAAATGTAGATTTGGGGTGAAACTTGACAGTAGTTGTCCATTTTTACAGCTCTTTTCTTACAGTGGCTTTAAGAATATGATTGAAAGGAAGGTGCAAAGAACCACAGAATTGTTTCTTCACATCAGAAAATGTTTTCTCATTAGTTGACTTCAGTCCTGAAATACAGAGATTAATGTTACAGGTTTTAACAAAAAAAAAAAAAAGTAAAAGCCCAGCATGGTTTGATCTATGTAATTACCAATCAGTGATCTGGATCAAATGTAGAGGGGTAAAATGGGAAGCAGTATGTACAACCTGTTGGAATAAAGTATGCTGTGTAGAGTTCAAATGTAAACTCTGTCTGCCCATCCTCTGTCTGTAAATTTAAGGTTGGATATTCAGGATTCAGTGTTAGTCATATTATTTACCACCAGAAGTACATGTAGAATTGGGCACGGAAGTGTATATTTGGCTATTTTGAGCACAAAGAGAGGAGAATGGATCTTACTTGTGTTTTTAATAAAATCTCAAAATCTTCTGCATTCCTTAATTCCCCTAAAACAAACTGAAGGAAGAGGTTCACTAGATGTATGCCTTCTACTAGAGAAACACAAGTGTTAATTATTGTCTTATTCTTTTACAGTGAAATAAATGCCCGGCTTGATGCTGTGTCTGAAATTCTGCTGTCAGAATCCAACGTGTTTGGTCAGATTCAAAATCTTCTTTGTAAGCTGCCAGATTTAGAGAGAGGCCTCTGCAGTGTTTTTCACAAAAAGGTATAACCATAATTACAAGGGGTTATTATTTTCTAAACAGCATAATTCTGTCCTAGAGTATTTCCTTTGCATTTGCATGTTTGTTTAAAAATGTTTTTTTCTTAGCAAAACTGAGGCTGACATAATAAAGGGATGCAAGTTTATAAAAATTAGATTTGGTAGAATCTTACTTTTTTATCAGTGATGTGCTGATAGAAGAAAGTATGAGTAGGGTTCTAGAATACATACACTGGATTGGTAATGCTAAGATTTAGTGGCTGGATTCAGTGAGATGAGATGGTGCAATAGGCCCTTGTGCCATAAATTATTATTTCCCTTTAAAACAAAGCATTGTGTCCGTATGCTTATCTAAAATCACACTTGCAAGTGAATCCACTTGGCTCTAGTTAGCTGTTTTCAAATGAATGTTAATCTTTTTATAAATTCTGTAGTTTGGATCTCACTTCCACATTTCAATAAGAATCACTTGTAACGAGACAGTGACAATTCTGCAGCAGATTAATGTGCTAATAGCACCTGTGCTGTACTTTATGTTCATTTATTTCACTGTTCTATTTAGAGGTTTTGTCAGTTTGTTTTAGATAAAGGAATAGGTAGGTAGAACAAGAGCCAGGCTGTAATTTTTTTGGATGGTACAGCACAAAGTTTTCCTCTGTCTGAAAATCTGAAACCCAGTTTTTTAAAGCCCTGTTGTGTTGCAGTGTTTGGCACGTGGAAAGACTTGTGTATTTCAATGAATGGATACAGAGGTCCAGCCATAAGGAAGGTTGTGAAAAGAGGGAGTGTACACCAATTTGCCCATCCTCTAAAATTAACCATATTCACATGATAAAATTGTTTGGGTTTTTTTTCCAAACAACTGCCCAGGAATTAGATAATTCACTTTTTAATGGTTAAACTCATTTCAGGTTTCATACATAATACTGTTTCTAGAGATATATCTGTATTTCACAACATCCTGGCAGTGCTCTACTGCTACCATGTGGAGTTTTTTTGGTTTGGTGTGTTTCTTTTTGGTTTTTTTTACATTCTATTTTTTTTTATGTACTTTTTTCTTCAGATGTCCCTTCCTGCTGTAGAACTGCTTACCTTTCTCAGCTTTAAAGCTGATGTTTAGATGTAGCCATTCAGAGCCTCTGGACTTTCGTGTGATTTTTGAAATGATATGACAATGTATTTTGTCGTAATAACAGCCACTGTAGCATGAAGATAGGTATTTAGTGAGTCAGATGTTGGAAAGAAGCTGCAGCAGAATCCTTAAAAAGGGTAAATGAGAGGGGAAAAGCTCCAAGCACAAACTTTTCATTTGGTGAATTATCTTCCCTTGGTAAAAAGCTGTGTTGGCATCCATTGCAGAGCACTGTGGTGAGGATCTGGAGCATTGAGTAATCCCTTTAGATCCTTAGGACTTTGAGGAGATGGCAGTGTCTGTGAGAGACAGGGTCTGTTTGGAGTAAAGAATCAAAAGCCGAGTCTGGGAAACTGGTTGTGGAGTCTAGACCGTGAATATGGAGCCTGAAGAAAGGTCCCTGCAAAGCAGCAGCATTCAAGAACATGGAATAACTGGTCTTCATGGATTTTTTGTGGGTTTTTTCCCCCCAGTGAATGCTGCCTTTTCGGTTCCCACTACAAGAGCCTTCCCAGTTCTGTTAATTCTAAATGTCCATCTCCCACATGCTCAAGTACCCTGCAATTTCTTCCCCATTAAGGGATCCAGACTCCCAGTGGAGCTCGCCGATGGCTTAACTGAAGGAATGTGCTTGTTAATTCACTGTCAGCTGCAAGAAAAATAGGTGAATGTGGCAAGTGTTTCATCCTCCGGGCCCTTTAGACTTCAGTGACATTAGTATTTGAAGAGCTGTTTTGCAAAGAGAGTCCAGAGTGTACAGAGATGGCTGGGTTGTCTCAGTCATTCCGAACAGTTTTTGGAATGTTTTTTACATTCAGATCAGTCGCTGAAGAACTTTTATTGTGGAACGTACTTTGTGCAGTGACCTCTGGAGAAGACAGAAAACAATTACGGCAAGACAATAGTCTGTAAGGCAAGGCATCCTTATGGGAACTCATCTGGGAAATAAGATCATTGTCTGTTTTGCTGGTCTGACTAATTTTTTTTTAATAAGTCTTATCTGGTACCATAATTCCACCTGGCAGTTGTTAACCTGGCCCTTCACAAATTCGCATTACCCCACACCACCAAGACCTATTGCTGATCTACCCCAGGTATAAACAGTCTGGAATTAAGACAGTATTTTTATTGTGGGAATTAGGTAGTACCTTGGGGGTCACAGTTCCAGTTGTAAGCTTGCCCTAGCCTGAAGAAGACTATGGGAATGGTTGAGGAGACTAGCAGTATTGCTGTTGCTATGGAGAGAGGAGTTACTTTCCAAGGGCTGGTGGTTCTCAGTTAGTGCAGCTCCAGCACCTGACACCTCACCAGGCAGAGTGGCCTCAGTGCTCTCTGTGCGGACACAAGGGTGACTGGAGAGGAGACATTTGAAGACTTCTTGGTAGCACTCAGAAGTTGACTTCAAAACCTAAACCCGAGAGACGGAGACTTTTCAAGAGCTTTGTCTAAATAGTTCTGGAGCTGATGCAGAATTAGGTCCTGTTGAGATGGTGTTTTCCATACCCGGTTCAGCCGTGCCCTCCAGAACCAGAGAGAGATTGATGGAAATTTACACCACGTGCATTTTTTCTGTGATCAGTGGGAAATATGAATAGCAGGATCTCTTGTTTTATCTCAGTTGGGTGATGAGTGTTCAGCCTTGCCTTGAAGGTGCAGAATGGCAAAAGAGGGTCAGCGGACGATATTTGAACAGGGTTTAAAACTAGTACAGAGTAAACAAGCCATTAGTACTTTTAGAAATGTGTCCTACATGGCCAACCTGATGTTTCTTGCTGATTTCATGCAGTGTGTTTCAGAAAGTAAATATTTATACAGGCTCAATCTGTAAATGTTTATCGTATTTTCACCCTTTGCTCAATAAACATTACTTTTTGACTAAAGCACAGTCACCAAAGTGGACAGAAATCATCATAACAACTGGTCATTAAATTTACAGAACAGATAAAAGTGAAGCTGTTTCACTGAGGGAGTGAGATCAGTGATCAAACCTTACCACCACATGTGGCGAAACGTCATTTCAGTTTATTCTGCTTCTAACTTCAGACACAGGCTCTCCCTCATTCAGAGTTCCTTATAAGCCACTGCAGTTGGGAAAACCTGTTCAGTTCTGAATGAGTCACCAAAGCTTTGCTGCCCCTTCAGGGCACCTGTGCAGAGTAAAGCAGGCAGGTGCTACAAGAAGGGGATTTGCTGCTTGGCTGCCCACAGCCTCCTCAGGGCCAACACTTTGCCTTCCAGTTTTTCAGTGAGTATTTCACTATATCACTGGCACAGTCAGACTCCTCAGAGGTCAAAGGTGTTGCTCAGCTGGGTGCCAAGAGTTAAAATCTTCCACATAAGCTTGTCCAGCAGAATGATGCTGAAAACCTTCTCTGGAAGGTACATTTGATATTTCATTGAAGAGGGTGTGATTTTCAGAGGATTCAGAGGAAAATGTTATGTTTCTGATTTTTCTTTTATTAAATGAATACCTGTTACATATGTCCAAGGTATTAGTTACTATTTTTATAGAATGCTTTAAATCAATTCGCCCCATAGCATCATCTTTTGTAGACATTGGCTAACACATACCTGGTATTTTTTGCTTTTTTTCTTCTGTAATAAAAGCATGCACATCTTGCCTATACTGCACTTCTAAAGAATCTGCATCAGAGATATTTTTAGGTTTGCAATACTAAATGTGATTTGAGGAAATTGTTCCACGTTAGGCTGATTAATATAAAGTCATAACAAGGGGAGTTAAAAACCTTAAAATTAAATACCTCATTTTTCCCAAACCAAAGTATGTTCTCTATACTAATAAAGGTGTCTATTGCAGCTTGAAAAGAGTAATAAATGTGTGCTGCATCAACTCCCATATATTTTTTTTGTTTGAAATGCTTTTAACTTGCAGTGAGTGGTCAGTGGTTGTCAGCCCTGGATGTCTGTTGGAAACATTTTCACTAATGCAAACAGGGCAGAATTGCTGTCGGTGTTGTTGAGAGGGTGTTGGATCTCTGTGATCTCTCCTGCATCCTCAGAGGCTGCCAGGCCATTTTCAGTAAACTGCTGGCTGAAACTATTGTTTGGCATCCATGTCAACTCTGAAGTTATTTTTCTAGTGCCAGAGAAGCTGTAGCTATTATTGGTGGCATCTCAAAACTACACTTCAAAAATAGCATTGAATAAGCTTGTGAGAATCTTCTCTGAATGCCAGACTGTTAATCCTGCTTTATGTAAACCATTTTTACTTGTATTTTAAAAGCTTCTAGTTTGTAACAGAGTTGTATGCTTTTGTAAGGTTACTTGGGACTTAAATGGAATCAGTCTTACTGTAATGGAACCCAGCTTTTCAGAGTTATTTTTATGTATCTGTTCCAAGTTCTCTGTTTGTTCACTAAATTACTTCTGCAGTGGAGGCATTAAATTTTAGATGCAAAGTCCTGCAGTCCCCTGGAGCCAGGGAAACAGGAATTCTCTGAATAAGCACAAAAGGGGTATGCACACCCCTTTCTTGGGAATGCTCTGTTTAACAAGGTTGTTTGCAGTAAAGCTGAATTTCCCTTTCCCCAAAGGTGCTGTTGACCGTAGTCATAGAATCAAATAGGTTTTAACTCATAGGTGACTGTTACCATGTGTGGGCCATCAGAGTTGCTGTGACAAACTTTAGCATGTTTAAGCATCTTTTGACATATCTCATGGTAGCTCTGGGGTTTGTTTCAGGTGATGCTGAATTGAAATCCAGCTTTCTGCTCTTACTGAAGGCTCATGTTCATCAGCCTCACCACCCTTATTGCCAAACTCCTTAGACAGGTGTTCTCATATATTCTCAAACACTTTTCCCTTTCCTGCACTTATATATATCATGTATTAATAAAGGCCCTGTTTAATCCCTTTTTTCTTATTTCTTACTGTCCATATTTCCTCATTCTTTTCTGGACATTGCTCTTCCATGAAACAGCCTTTACCTCCCTGAGTACATTTTGTATTCAAGGGAAGTCTGGCAGAATTTTATCCCTTATCTGCATCAATGTTGATGATGATGATGCTGTCAGTCATACTGTATTTGACTTTGAGTCCAAACCTGAATTTGTCATTTATTTAGTCTTTCAGGCCTTTCCTCTGTGCTTTGATCTCAAATGCCATTGACAGATGTGAGGAATATCTCTAATTAAAATTTAGAAGACGGCCAAATACAGTAAAACAAAGAACTGGGTGCACAAACTGGTGACCTGGTCCGAGCACCCCGCCGTTTGAAAAACGCGCCCTTTTGTACCTTTTGGTTACATAAGCTGTTAAATATTCAGCAGGTGTAAGGTATTTTACCTTAAAAGGTAATTTTTTGAACTCAGGAGGGGGTGTTACCCTCCCTCCTGATTGATTGATGATGTACTCCTATGTACAGAGGGGTCTCTCTGCACACAAAGGGTATATTTTCTATTTTTATATATTTTTTCCCTACTCCGACCGCGATGTTTCCTTGGTGTCAGGCCCAGACGGGGCTTTTCACCTTACAGTCTCCACGAGGTGCCTAAAACTCTTGGAATTAAATGAAAGAGAAGAAATAAATCCCACCAACCCTTGCTTTTCACTAAATTCATTTTGCTTATAATAAAACCAGGTTATTTATTTCTCATACAGATTTACTGCTTTATTATTTTGTTTTATTTTGTTGTCAGAGCTTTTGCAAAGTAGGAGAAATAAGTCCCAGATTATCAGAAAGACAATGATAAATTGCAGCAAGTGCAGAGGAAACCCAAAATTTTCATGAGACTGAATAACGGATGGCCTATGAAGAAAGATTGAAAGACCATTTTTTTGATTACATTGATGATTGAAGGAGAATAGAAGACTTAGAGGTATTTGAATGGTGTTAACAGCAAAGAAGCAGTTGAGTTACTGTAATACAAAAAACTAAAACTAGAGATATTTGGATTAATTTAATGGAAGGGAAATTTAGGCTGTCTGATAAAACTTTTACATGATGCTAATTGTTGTTTTATGGATTAGTGGTAAGCACATGGTTTCTTGGAATATAAGGGCAGACAAAAAGAAAACTAACACAGAAAAATTGGAGCAGTTTCAAGGAAACCACCTGAAGGGTCTCTTCTGTCCCTGTCTCAGTAGTTCTGTAAAAGAGGTGAGCTTAGATATTCCAGAAACATTCAGAATGTAATCTCTGTGGTCTTCTTGAATGTCATGAAGTACCATGGTTAAATTGCATTTTTGTTAATACTTGCTTCTGTGTTTGGGTACAGTCATTATTCGGGAGAAATAACGATAGAGTAATAGATGAGAGAATTGTCTTAGTTCTTGCACATGGGTGTGGGAAGGAAAGAGAAAGAAAAATTTACTTCTGGGGAGAAACTGAAAGGATGGTAAAATGAAAATGTAGGTGTGTTCTGTGAAATAGTGATTCACTGAAACCTACATGTTCTGTAATCAGTGTTGTATTGATTACCACCAAATCCTGACCAGTAATTGAATTCTAGACTGCTGGGGTAGGAGAGAAAAAAATGTAGGAAGAGCAGGATGTGCATACAAAGGGGATATATCCTACTGCTTTCCTTGCATCCTCAGGTGAGGAAACTAAGCTGGTTTTTTCAGTGTTGTCAGTTGACTGATAGGAGAATTTCAGAAGACTAAAGGAGGAATATTTGTACAGATCAGTAAAATATGAAAAAGTATCAGCATAATTATTTATGGACAACTTTTTTCAAACCTTCTGAAATGGAAATGTCTTGGAGTGTCACTGAATTCAGCAAGGTTCGAGAGCATTAAGTGTCCCACAGAGCCAGGTTTGCCAGGTTTCCATTTGGTTTGTAGATCTGGTGCCATGTCATGTCATGGCTAGGCTTCGCGAACGAAGATTTGGGAAGGCTCTATCCACATTTGTTACAGGCACGCTGGTGGCTTATGGGGCCAATATGAGATAGACATGTCCAATTGCAAAAGGCACAGCAGAAAGACTCCTTAGATGGTGTATTCAGCAGGATATGATTCTTTCTACAATTCTTTCTGCGAGATCTGGTGCAGCACAAATGCAAACTCAGTGCTGCACAGGCCATTTCAGAATCAGTGTTAACTGATTTGTAAGTGGGGCACAAGCACCTCAGGTACCTGGCACAGCTGAGTGTGGAATTGGGAGTGTGACAGGAGGGGAATTGGTTCCTCAGGGTTGTTAACTGCAAAGTCCTTCTTGAGAATGAGCTGAAGGTAACAAACTAGGCTGACACTGAAGAGCATCTGGAATTCAAGAGCAAAGTGCCTGAACCACAGCATAAGTAATATTAGTGGTTTAAACAGGGTCTGCTGGTTTTCTCTTTCTCTGGGTTTTATTTTTTCCCTTTCTTTTCCCAAGACTCTCCCTGTCTGTGTCCCGCTCTGTCTTTCCAAACCTTCTCTTGCAAGAAGCACCGTGGGGGTGCAGATAACACAGATTCACAGGCACATATGAACAAGGTGTGGTGTTCCTAAAGTTACTCGACCTGCTCTTTTTATTTTTGCGCATTATTGCCTCCTTTTCTGCTTTTGTATGCACATCTCCCTCCAGCACCAGGAGCACTGGAGATCAGCTCTTGGCTGATTCCTAATGATGATTGTTGAGAAAACGGGTATGCTTAACTATGCTTAATTAACCTCATGAATGGGCCAAGATGGTGCAGTTATGTTACTGTCCATACATCTAATTCTATTTTGTCACGTTTTCAAAAAGCAAAAGAACCTGTAGGATTTAATGAAAATACAGGACATTGGAATTATTTAGTTATCGCTTCCCTTCTCAGTGCTCAACACAAGAGTTCTTCCTGATTGTCAGCACCCTGTCTCGCCTGCACTTGGAAATCCAAGCTCTTGTCCCAGTGCTGCATTCCCATGTGAGATCTCCGCTATTAAAAAATGCACTGTTGGAAGTCCCAGAGCTTCTCTCTCCAGTAAAACATTATTTAAAGATCCTTAATGAAGAAGCAGCCAAGTAAGTAGAGAAAGTAGATGAATCTTCTGTGCCTCATAAGCTTTCTGATTAAGTGTATTCAGTTATGCAAATTATGCATCTTGTTTTAGTACACGTTTGTTTTAAATTTTTTATTTTGTATTTATGTACAATAGCTTTTAGTTAAAACATAAGTTGTTGTCATCTATGGCTTATATTCTTTTTTTAAAGTTAAACTAGGTGAGCAAGCATTTTGCCTAGTGGGTGTTTGCCTCAGGCCAAATAACTTTTTGAAAGTTTTTCATCTATTTTGGACAATGAATTTACAGCGAAAATGTGTTTTGCATTAGAATAAATTGTTTTCACATCTTTTTTTGAAGGGAGACTTGGCCTTTAGCAGAGTGGGTGCTCTGCTGTCAGGAATAAGCCTTTTACTATTTTTGTGACAATTCATTAAAGCTGTTTGCCTTTTTTGTCTTAATTGTGTCCTTTGTTGGTCCAAAAAAAATAAAAGGTAGAGGAAGAAGATGGACTTAATATGCATTATACTGTTCCTTTGATGACAGATGTGGTATACAGTTCAATATATAATTACATTGGGGCATCCACCTTATTTATAAAACATTTTTTTTTCTTTTCCAAACTGGGATTTAAAATTAGATTTAAGAACTGAAGCCTAGAACTTAACTGCATTTGTTTCTGAATTAGAGACAGATCCAAGGTGTATAAATTAAAGCATTGAGAAGGGCAGAAGGATTTACTCTGCCCATTGCATAGGTGGGATTATGAGATTTCTGCTGATGTATGGTGTCCAGTTATAGTTGTGGCGGTTTATGACAAAACTGACTGTATCTAAATTACACCACATTTACTGTAGATTCGAAATACAGTGGGTTTTTTTCTGTCACTGTATTGATCATGGGTACAATAGTATACAAAAATGGTATAAGTAGAAAGATATCATCATTGATCTGCAGAATACATATTTGCATTGATTCAAGATGACTAAAATAACATATCTTTCAGCCTTTATTTATCTCAACTTTATGTGCCAGTATTGTTTTTACTCCAAAACATTTCTTTTATAAAAATCACGAATACTACTCACATCCATGCGTGAGCGCACACACTTGTGCAGACACTACATCACATGTTAATTTTGTTATGAGGTGTGGATAAAATCCTGTAGCTGTTTTCAAAAGTGTCCCTCTGCTCTAGGGCTTTTTTTATGGGGAGTTGGAGATTTTGGGTTTGTGTTTTTTCTGTTTTTAAACTGTCAACTTTAAAATTTTTTGTTGGCATCACATAGCACCGACAGTCTTCACAATCAGCTGCTGGCTACTGGTGATCTTTTTTTTCCCCTTGAATTCCCATGGAAACAGGTCTAATTAGCACAAAATCGTTTCTAAAAATTAGTATTGTATTTTAAAATGGCATCTTTACTATCACTTACATAATGCCAACGAAATGTAATGCAAAGCCAAAGCACAGCTTTGTGTTACCTGCCTGGTCACTGGCTCCAGTTGTAGTTTTATTCTCAGTCAGAGGGGTAGCAGAGTAAGTAGAATATTAGATTTTTTTATTACTTCTATGTTCTAATACTTTCGGTTGGCTAATTACTTGCTCTCCACATATTAGTTTTCAGGGTAATTATGTAATTAATTGGTAGAGGTTTTGTTTGCTCTAAAATACAAAATTGTATTCCAATTAACTTAGTGTTGATTGCACTGCTTTTTATTCTTTGCCTGATACTTAATAGGGTAAGTTAAATTTTTGTTATTTTTGTTGACAACCATGTTTTTAGTAGCTAGTTCAGGTCCCAGATTTTAACCATTTGAATGGCATTCCCTGTTTCAGATGTCAATCCTGAGCTGAGTTAGTGCAGCCAAAATAATTTTGTCATTTTTTTTGACGTTGAAACTAGAAAAGAGCATTGTTTTGCATGTAGTTAAAAGTGCTCAGGTTAATCTTTTCTGGAGAAAACAAGGAAGAGTTTTCTCAGAGCTGCTCTGAGAAAGCCCTGATGGCATTCTGCTTTGATGAGGACCCTGGGGGGGGGTTTTCTTTGCAATTCTCATTAAAATATGCCCAAATTTGGCCAGATTCTAAATATGTTAAAAATCTGTGTGCATGTTATGCAGAAATTATCTAAAGCTTCACATTTAATCATAATAAAGATGTTGTCAGCACTTGGGGTGCTCTGTATAAAAAAAGTGCCTTTCTATTCATGTCATGAGTATGGCAGCTTTTGGTAAATATGCTGTGTCATGACCAAGCACCTGAAAATCTGTATTTAGAAGGAAGTAAAGCTAATGTTAAAACAAATGAGAATAACAAATTAAAATAAGCACACAGCCAGCAGAATCAGGGAATGTATCTCTGTTTTTACCATTATTTTATCTTATGCTTTTTCTGGATAGGACTGGAGATAAAACCCAATTGTTCAAGGACCTTACAGACTTTCCTGTCATCAGAAAGAAAAAGGAGGACATCCAGGGTGTGCTTTCTAAAATCCAATTGCATCTGCCAGACATTCGTAAACAGATTAAGAATCCTTCTGCTGAGTATGTTACAGTTTCAGGTCAAGAGGTAATATTGTATTTATTAAAATATGACTGCACCCATTCTTGTCTAGAAAACATCTTAAAAGTGAGACCTACTGGAACTTAGTATGATGCTTGATGAGGTCATTTGACTATAATCTTTTGTCCAACTTTGAAGAACAGCTTTCTTATAGTACGACTCTTACTTGTTAAGACAATTACTTTAGTGATTTAAATAAGAGAAACTACACACATTTGCGCAGTTCAATTTGTTTCAGTGATGCTTCATTTTTCTATGTGTGTAAAAGCACTCACATACTTCCAGGGTTAATTTTGTGACTAGTAAGTGCTGAAATACTCTCAGAGGACCAGAAAGCACAGCATGGAGTTAACTTGGAGAATGGTGGAAGAATTTGTAAGTACTGAGTAAGACTGTAGTTTGAAAAATGGGAGATAAGAGGAACCGTATTAAAGAATGATAAATGTTGTTTGAATTCTAGAAACAGTGCTTTAGACTGGAGCTTTTGTTTGTAGGTGCTGTGCAAGTGTGGGCAGGACATGCTCCAGTGAGCTGAGAAGTTCAGTGGTGAAAAAAGAGATGTCAGATCCTGCAAAATTTGTGGGGGAACTGAGGGGAGCAGTGAGGTAGCACAGCTCAGCACTGTCCTTTGGGAACTGAGAGTAGGAGGGCTGAGAAAACTCCATAGAAAATTGGGAAAAGAAAGGAGTTGGGAAATGGAGAGAAATGGAGAGTAGGGGAGAGGAATGGGTGAGGACAGGGAGGGAAGGAACTGGAATTGGCCCATGGAGGACTTCAGAAAGTGAGAAGTACCCAAGCGACACAGGAGGGAGCAGAGAGGCACTGCTGAAATGATGGAGAATGTGGGAAGGGATGAATTAGAAACAGCAGCCTTTGACAAACACCTGTTGATGGTGGAGCCGAGAACAGCAAACACGTGGCCCAAGAGTTGCGCAGGTTGTCAGCAGAGATACTGAAATTCAGCGGGAAAGTGGAAAAGTGTGTTTGAGTATTGTCTGAGGGAGGAAAGAGCCAGGATTTGAAAAGTTTCTCTCAGGGAGGCTACATTAAGAGTATATGATGACAGCTGTGTGAAGGAAAGGAAAAGAGAGGAACTGATAAAAGAGAGGAGAAAGCACCTGAGGAAGTACCGAAATGTGGAGTTGATAGGAGGGTTAAAAACCACCAGTCAGTGCAGACATATAAGAGAGCAGGGCATAGCTCAGAAACCATTGCAGATGGAGATGTGTGTTGGTGTATTGGTAAAAGGAGCTCTTATTTCATGATATATGGTGAGGGTGTCTCAGAGACACCAAAAGGGTCAACAGGGGAAGGGTCAGAGAAGATGGTCAGTGAGGAAAGGAAAGACACCAAAGGAGTAGGAGTAAGGGAAAGGAAATTGTTAGAGAGGAGAAGAACGTAGAAGTAGAACAGGAGTCTGTGTCATTTGAGCTCTTTCTTCCTCAGATGTGTGTGGTATATTCTGCTTACATGCTGATAGATGTAGAATTCAAATGCTTCTTCACAGGAGAAGAGCAATAAGAAGTATTTCAAGACAAATATCTTGAAAGTGTTTTAGGTGAATGAAGAACTCATCCACCATGCCCTTGCTGGGTTTTTTTGTGCCCATGTCAGGACTGTTATTTTTGTTTGTACTTGAGCGTGATTGCTGGCTATTCCAGTGGACTGTGGAAGGTTTTATCTAAATCATATTAATTATAATGGAAAAGCTTTGTCAGACCAGAGTCTCATGGATTTCTGTAAATGTGGGCATAGTCTGTGTTAATCTAATCTCTGCAGGTAATTTGTTTTCCAGCTGAATTTTGTGATCAGGAATGCTTCAATTCTCTGACATCCAGGGCCTCAGGCTGGTGTTACAAAGATAACTGACGTGAATCATACAAAACATTGCAATAAACACATCACCTATATTTCACTGCACTGAGTATCCTGCCATTACTGCTGGTTTTCCCTGTGCCTCCCTCTCTGCCCCTGAGTTGATTCAAACCTCAAGCAAGGTTCTCTAGATACAGGAGGGTTATGTATGTCATAACCCTTGCTTTTCTGGGGGAGAAAGAACATTAACTTCTGGTCTGCTCAGTCTCTTCAGGCTGAATATTGTTTTCCTCTGATTCATGTGGATTTCTTGATTTATAATGATTATGATTCTCTAGCCTTCCTGACTTCCCATGATGTGTAATATTACATTTCTGTTATTTTAGTTTCTGATAGAAGTCAAGAATTCCCATAAATCATCTGTACCATCTGACTGGGTTATGATTAGTAGGTACGTAAAATATCTTTGAAGTTGTTCTATTATCATATAGAAGTAAAACCATGGTATTTTGGTATTACAATTAATTACATACACATTCTCATTGCTTCATTTGTTTATGGGTTTTTTTTTTTAGCTGAACCCAACCGACCACAATTGTAAATTTATTGATTAAAAGCAAACAAGCAGAAAAAATGGAGTGCTTAAAGCATTTGTTTTTACACAGTAGATCCTTAGAGCACTGTATTATTTACCTAACCTTTTAAAGTACATGTACTGGTGTTAAAACCATGGTCTTGATTCAGTTGTGCCTGTAGCTTGCATGTGCCAGTGCTTCATAAAATTTTGATTGTTCTTATTTTATTCTAGCAGGTGAAACAGAGATGGACTGAATTATGTAGTTGGCTTTTATTTCCCCTCAGTAATTTATGATTCAGAGGGGTTGAATACCTTAAAGTTATAATGTCCATGTAAATGCTGAATTTTCTACAAGATCCAGTTTGTAATATGTGAGCACAGATATCACAGGTGAACTCTGAAGTGATGTTCTATTAACTTATGCAAGAGTTAAGTATTGAAAGTGCAGAGATTAGACCAAATTAATATGGTGAACGAATTGCAGTTAATCTGGATTCTGTAAGACAGTGCCTGGCTACCCCACAGTGAATCCTTAATGAAAATACATAAACAAATACCAAGTGCCCCAAGTGGAAACTAGCAAGGCACGCTGTATTTACAAAGTTCATTTCAGGCTTGTCATGAAGTTTTCCTTTTTAAAGTAATTTTCTTTGTGTAGTTCATTGTATATGCAACTAGCTACAGAAAAGCCATCCATTTAGGCAGTGTTTTGTGAACAGAGTTTTGTGGAATATGTAAACTTTGATGATATATCCCACATTGTGCAAAACATTTCAGAAGCCTTGTGAGTGGACAGTGGCGTAGTAACTGACCACTTTATTCACAATAAATACCAGTGGAATCAATAGGGTTTGGTACCACAACAAAAGAACGTGTTTTTTTTCTTAATCATGTATTTTCAAGGCTCTCAGTGAGTAAGAAAACTATTCCAATTTTGCATGTAGATGGTGTAGCTGATTGCTTGGTGACCTTGATTTCCTGTTTGGCTTCTCTCTCCCTTCAAGCACAAAAGCTGTGAGCCGCTTCCACACTCCTTTTATCATAGAAAATTACAGGCATCTGAATCAGCTCCAGGAGAAGCTCATCCTTGACTGCAGCGCTGAGTGGCTGAACTTCTTAGAGTGAGTTTACAAAATACATCCTGTCCTCATCATTGTATTTGGTTTGGAGTTTACTGTAAGAGGAGAAAAAGAAAGATGTTTATCTAAAAAGAAGTTCGTAGTTGTCCAGAACAACCTTATAAGTAGTCAATTAAAATGTTGCTTAAAGCAGTTGAAGGCAGGACCTTGAAGTCTGAGTCCTGAGACTAGCAGTGATATCTCTGTATTTTCACATTCTAATGAAAATACACTGTTAATTATGTAAGGTGTCTCTCAAAGTTTGAAAACTAATATCACATAAGATATTAGTTTTATTAAGAGCAAAATAATAATATAATATTAATACTGTTATTCTAATATATTAATAAATTAATATTAATTCTTTTAAAAATAGTTGAGAATCTAAAAGTACAGCTGAGTGAAACTGAAACGAGTAGTTTTATTGTTGAAGTAGTACTACTATTTATTAATATTATATAGTAGTGTTATTATTAATTATATTTTTTACACTGTCCTGAGTTTGGCTATGATTATTTGCTAGAAAGTAGTGGGAGTTTTATTGTCCCTCACATCTGGCACATCTGTTTGTCTGAGGTCAGAGTTTTTAGTGGAATAATTTGACTTTTTGACCAAAGGATCTTTAAAATGGGAGTTTAAAAATTACTTCTGGGACTTCTGAATGCATTTGCAAAAGCTTAGCAAGTCCCCTCTGAAATTGTCTCACTGGATTTGCCCCATAGTGGGAACCCAGCAATTCTCTAAATTTGATAGAAACTAGAAAAACATTCCAATTCGCACTTCTCCGGGTGTGTTTCCTGTGCAGTGCTAAGAAAATGGTTCTCTTCATGTTCCCTTGACTGTTTTCAATAATGTTGTATAACAGCAGACAACAAGGAAAGACCTGGGTGTAGGAAAGTGCTCTTCTTTCCCACTCCTCCATTCATTTATGTCTTTGTTTATTAAACTTTGCTCCCCTGCTGGTTTTGTATTCTATATTGTACCTTTGAGACTAGGAGAGGGGAGAAAACAAATTCTTGAGGATGAACAGAATGAACTTTACTGAAAACTTTGCTCCCCTGGAAACGTCATTATTGTGCTGGGGAAGCAATACATAAAATGAAAATTAATTCTTGAATTTTCTGCTGTAGATACCATACTTTATTGAAATTGTAGACAACTCCTGTGTCGGACACTCTTTAGTTTGGTTCTTTTCTGATTGTAACTTATGGTTGAAGTTGAACCAGTAATTGGGATTCAGCTGCCACTGTGACAAATTGTGGCATTTTTACAGACCTCATTGAGGCAACTGCTGACTCTTAATATGCTACCTAATGAATTTCATTTTTGTCTGATTTTTTGTGCTTAAAAATAATTCACTCTTAGAATGTCATAAAGTCCATCTTGATTAAGATTGTGTCCTCCTGTTGCAGCCTAAATCGCTGCTGGGAGATTTGAATTCAGAACGATTTAGCAACCACAGGAGCTCTGTGAAGAACTTGCATGGAGTGTATTTTGACAATGCTTCTGTATCTGTGCAGAATTATTTTTTTCCCCTTTTCTTTTGTTACTTTTCCCTGTTTTGGTACAGCCATTTCAGTGAACATTATCACTCTGTGTCTAAAGCCATTGGTCACCTAGCAACTGTCGACTGCCTGTTCTCTCTTGCCCTGGTGGCTAAACAAGGAGACTATTGCAGGTAATCAATTTTTAATTTTTATTTGGGATTTTTAAGGGAATTATAAGAGGGTATTTAAAATAAATCAGATTTTAATATCTGTACTATGATAAAATGCATTATTAAAATTGTTTACAATAGTTTCAACTTAATCTGATTTTGCCAAACAGCACTTCTGGGCAAAACACAAATCTGTAAACATTACAGTTCAAATTTTACATGTTATGTCAAATTAACAAATCAACAAACAAATTATGTTTTTTGTTTGACCTGAGTCTAGTGGATATCTCACTATATATAAATAAATGTTGGACTTTGCATGGACTTCTTTTTCTCTTTTTTTTTTTTTCTCAGCAAGGTCTGAGTTCATAATATCTTTCTACTACCTCAATTTCTCAGGTATTTGAGGTTTGTTTCAGTGTTGTATTTCAGATAAATAATAGATAAATATTAGTTCCAGCTTGTAGAGCAGAGGGGATGCTTCACCTGGGATCAGGTGTGATGAGCTGTGCACCTGCCCCTGCCCAAGACCCACACATAGGCAAATGAAATCAGCTTACATGTACTTCTGCTGTTATACATCTTTAAAAATAATATTGATCACCTCTGGACTCTTGGGATCGCATGTGCCTCTGTTAAAATCTCTTTGAAAGTAATTGCTCACTTATTTCTGTATACTCAGATGAGAAAACAAACTGAAGTCTGATTAATTCACTGTGCCAGGGTTTAAATAATTCACTGAATTTTAGAATGGCTTAGAGCTTATAAACTGGCTGGAAAGAGACTTCTCAGTGAAACTTCAGCTGCAGGGAAGGTGTCACTAATTAATTTTGGAGGGCTGCTGAAGGAAAGATTAGGACAGTAATACTAAGCATTTTTGAGGAATGTTTTTTGACTCAGTGAGGATTGTTTCCTATAGCTCAACCTCAGGTAGGTAAGTGAGCCAGGTCAGGAGCACAAGTGCTCTGCATAGTTGTGGGGGAGAGCTGAGCACCTCTCACAGTTCAGAGGCATCTGAGGATCCCTGGGTAGGGACACTCTTCCTTTACACAGATTATTTACAGCATCAGGGCTCTCAGGCAGCAATGTTAGAGACATAAAGGTGATGGTGTGTGTAGTCCAGAGACCATAATCTGATGTTTGGGTGTCCACTCTCCAGGCTGTGAATGGTTTAAGGGATGCTGTTGAAAAGGTAGTATAAAGCTCAAGATTGTCTATATATTGGTTTCATCTCAGCTACACAACTGCTGGGAAAAAACCTGCCATTATCAGTTTGCATCTCTTTCCCCAGTGCTTTGTGTTTCTAATGTGCCATTTATTTCATCTCCATTTTCCTTCTAAATTGCATACTCCCACTCCCCACATCTTCCCTTTAAAGACCACCCAGAGTATCAGTTCATTTCCAGTCTTAAAATTCTGTGGCTTTATTCCAGTATCCTCTTTTTCCCAGAGCTGCTGCCTCTCTCCCTATAAGTTACTGCTCTTATTTCAGAGTGTTTGTACTTCTGGGGTAGGAAAATGTTGCTGAGACATGGAACCGCATTTACCTCTCCACTGAGTGCTGCAATTCAGTTTACAATGGAAAAGAAAAAGTAGGTTGCAGAGAACAAAAAGAATTAATAGAATTCAGTGGAACATGCTTCTTTTTTGGTTTTTGTTCTGTGAAGAAGATTCAGTATTTGGAGATGGAGCTTTTCAGACATGGAGATATGTAGTGAAGAATTCGATGTTACATTAGTAGACTTGTAGACAAATTTGCAGTTAAGGTGGAATTTCTTTATCCAATTTGCTAATATATTCTTTTGTAACCGATTGAAAGTAAGGAAGTCTTTAGAAATGCTTAATGCTATAATTAATTTTTATAATTTGAGAGTTTTTTTCACAAAAATCTATATCATAGGTGACCCTCCTGCAGGCTTTAGTTGCAGTAAATTATTAGTTACAATAAATTAGAATGAATATATTTTCTTTTTTGCAGACCAGTTGTGCAAGATAATTGTCAAGAAATAATTATAAAAAATGGGAGGCACCCTGTGATTGACGTACTCCTGGGAGAACAGGATCAGTATGTTCCAAATACCACTAACCTTTCAGTAAGTACCAAGATACTTCAAAATCATTCAAGGGAAGGAGTCTGGGATCAGCTTCTTGGCCAGGAAATTAAAATAAGCAATTTAATCATACAACTGTCTGCTTGGTTGCATTTCAGATGTGACCACATCTTTTTTGTCCCTTTTCTGATATCTGGCAGCCAGACGCTCTTTTTACAACCTTGTTCAACCTTAATGGCATAAATAAAAGAAAGGTTATCTCAATATTAGGAAAATGTATGTTTTAAATGGTTATTTTTGAAAAACAAATAATTATGGGGGTTTTAATGGTGTAATCAGAAGGAGTCTTAATTTTGTCAAATCTTTTCTCAAAATTGTGGAGTGTTTTAATATGCAAAATAGATGTGACAGGCTCAGTTTTGCACCTTGATTCTAAGATTGCTCCTGTATTTTTTTAGGTATTTCTCTAAGTGTTTTCCTTTCTTTCTGAAAGTGTTAATGTGATGCAGACTTCTTTTTCCTGATAAACTCTGTCCTTTAAATTACCTGTCCATTTGAGGTTTTTCATTAAATATTTACCTGTCTATATATTTTTTTAAATATTGTCTGTTCTTAATGAATATTAAAGATATCCTTGCAACTTAACGCTGAGCTCTCTCTGCCTTTTTATATAGTAAATATGGAAAAGGTATGAAACAGCTGTCAGTGTGGAACATTTCTGTGATAAACAGCATTCGAATTTGTATGTATTTCTTGGGAAATATTTTTAAATGCTGTTCTATACTGAACAATGATACAGATATTTTGCAATACTGCAGGGAATGTTTTCAAAATTATTTGTCAACTCTAAACAAGCAACAGATGGCACTTAAAAAAAATTCAGCATTTCATTCAGTAATCATCATCCACTTTTCCCTGTTTAGCCCCATTCTTATGTTGGCTTTCTAAATACTGAATATTACAAAATTAAGTGATCATAGCAGAATCACTTTTGCCTCTACTGTTGAGTTTTCTCTTTCTTGAGAGAAGAGGTGGGTGGGTACTAGTGTGGTAAAATGTCTCTAGTTTTCAACTGATGTGTTTGAATCAGCAGGAAAATACATCTCCTGTCATGTTTTCAGATGAAATATTGTCAAATATCTAACTTGAGGAAAAGCTTTCTTGCAGTACCCTGAAATAAACATATTATTTTTCCATTCCCCTTCTCCTCCACAAATGTTCATGGATTGTTTTAGAACTTTTGACTTCGGCCATGGATTCCAATAAGATGTTGGCTTATGGCTGTGTGCAGTTTTAAGGGCAGATATTGTTGCGTTCCAGATTAAGCTATGAACTGCCCAGTGCAGTTACATTTTTATTTAAGACTTCTTAAAAGCCTTTTGGTTCATTATAACCTCTAATTAGCATCCGGAGAAAGAGTCACACACTCTTATCTGAGAGAAATTCTTTTTAATTTAGTGAGAAAAATAAGATATTTTGGCAAAAGGTTTTTACAGGAGTAAAATACAACCAAAAAAAAGCATTTCACTAAAACATTCAGCACAAAGACCCATTACACAGGAAACACCCACTAAAAACTATCCATATACCAGCTTTAGTAAAACACAGTTCATTGGTTTTAAGTCACTCACAAGAGAAGGAAAAGAGCAACAGGAGAAAACAGATTAAAAGGGTAAAGAACGAGAAAAGAGAGAAGAGGAGAGAGAAAGGAGAGGACAACAGTTACCGGCAAGATTTGATGATGCACATGGTACCAGCTGGAGGGGGAGAAGAGAGAGACAGGGAGACCACATGGAGACCCATGTATTTCTAGAGTTCAGTTTTCCCTCCCAGGCAGGTTATCCCACCAGCGCTTTCCAGCCCCAGCTGAGTTGTGCTGTAGCCAGTCACAGGCTGCAGGGGTGTGGTGTGGGCGAGCTGCCAGGCAGCTCTGCCTTGACTGACAGCCCGACTGACAAGGCTGCAGGGCCTTCAGCTCTGCCACGTGCTCTGCGCGGGCTTCAGGCCTTGCCTTCAGCTCTGCCCGATGTGCAGCCCTTACCATGGACCTGCAGGTCCAGGGCCAGCCCCTCCCCACATGCACACACACACTCTCACAGTGAGTTGGTTCCGACCCGTATCAATAATTCACTGAGATTCAGATCCAAGATCTCACAGATGTGCTCTCTACTCTGATGTAACAGCAGATGTTCTTTCTGAAAACCACAAGATTTGCAAACCAGCCACCAGTGTCACAGCATGGTTGGAGGGAGCCTGGGCAGATTGTGGATTTTAACAGATGAACTCGTAAACTCATTCTGGTTTTAAATTGTGTTGGTTTGAGCCCGGACAAAGTTTTAGTAGCAGCACTAGAACTATAGCCTGGAGACTAGAATGCATTTTGTTCTCATACAGTCATGTGCACTTTATTACATTCATCCTTTATTCCCAATTGTGGCATTTTCTGAGTTTTGACTGTATTACAACTTCCGTATGGATGAGGTTTGCTTTGCAAAAGCTGAGCAGCTTTTTACATATAATAAATTCTGATTGCCTGTATCTTCTCTGTCTTCTGTACTATGACATAAGTGACAGTCCTATCTGAATTTTATGTGTGTCTCTATAAACAGAATGAAAGCCCCATCAAAAGTCAGATCTGTAAAGATCTTGAGACTTTCTCCATGGAGAGTTTTTTGGTGGTTGTTTTCACAGTGCCTGATCAGTTCCAAGTTTCCCAAGCAGTGTGACTAACACAGCTTGTCCTGCCCTCCATGCCTCTCCCTTGGGGCAGTGGAGTGTGCTGACTTTTGTGTAGTTCATCAGTTGCTGCATTTCTTTGGATGCACCCAGGGGAAAGGAAAAGAGTGCCTGTGTGATGTCCTTGCATAACTTAGTTTCCTAGTCTGGATTTGGGCTGTGAGAAAGCTTTATAGATTCATTGATGAGTTTAAATTTTGTATGAGCAATTGTCTGGCACTAGAGTAGGCAGTCATACAGCTGAGATGAGTTCTTGCATCTGATTTAACTTTCTATGTGGTTTCAGTGGTCAGATACACTTACTGACTGGAGATTGGCTACAGTCTGCTCACAGTATTTGTGTTGCAGTCAAGTGTTGCCAAACTCAGCAATGTCTTCATTTCTTGTTGTAGCCAGTCTGAGTGTACTTATGTCATACCAAGGCAGGCAATTATGAGTGTAAAATCCAGGTCAGGTCTTTGTCTGTCAGATCTCCCCATTTGGCAATGAGGACTCCAGCTGGAGAGGAGTCCAGATCACAGCCAAATTAGGACAGCTCTGGCTGTGCTGAGAGCTCATGAGTTTCTGCTTTTCTCCAAAGAAGATTACACAGAATCCCAGAATGGTTTGGGTTGGAAGGGACCTCAAAGCTCATCCAGTTCCACCCCTGCCATGGGCAGGGACACCTTCCACTATCCCAGGTTGCTCCAAGCCCCATCCTACCTGGCCTTGGACACTTTCAGGGATGAGGCAGCCACAGCTTCTCTGGGCAACCTGTGTGGGGCCTCACAATCCTCACAAGGAATAAATTCCTTTCCGATATCGTATCCAACACTGTCCTCTCTCAGTTTGAAGTCATTCCCCCTTGTCCTGTCACTGCAGACCCTTCTAAATAGTCTCTCTCCATCTTTTCTGTCAGCTCCCTTCAGGTCCTGCAAGGCCACAATTAGGTCACCCTGGAGCCTTTTCTTCTCCAGTCTGAACAATCCAAATTCTCTCAGCCTTTCCTCACAGCAGAGCTGCTTCATCCCTCTGATCATCTTGGTGCCTCCTCTGGACTCGCTCCAGCAGCTCCATGGCCCTCCTGTGCTGGGGACCAAGTTCTTGGATACTTTCTTAGCTCCTTGATGGAGAAGAGGAAGGTTCCCCCTCACTGTGTCCATTTTGCTCAAGAGCACTCAAAGTTGATTTTGATGCATCTGGGACTTCATAATATCTGGAAAAGTGAATGTGATGAACAGGAAGTTTAGACCTGCAGACTTCTCCTATATCCTTCTAAGCAGATGCACACACCAGACTTTCTTATGGAAGCACCACATGCAGGAAAAAATATTTGACTTCTCTTTTGTGTTTCCAGGGAGATGGTGAAAGGGTCATGATAATAACTGGGCCTAACATGGGAGGAAAGAGCTCCTACATAAAGCAAGTGGCCTTGATCACAGTCATGGCACAGGTCGGTTCTTATGTTCCTGCGGAGGAAGCGACAATTGGAATTGTGGATGGTATTTTTACCAGGTAATCTTTCAAAATTTGCTGTATGTATATAGAAATGTTACTGTGGCAGGGGTGGGTGTGTGTGTCTGTATATCAAAGTGTAATTTCATTTTCCGTTTAGAACTCCAGAATTTATACCTGAAGTTTCCCTTTTCATTTTAAAGGCATGTATTCACTGTTAAGTTTTAACTCTGATTTTCTGGAAAGCTAATGGTATTTGTATTGTAATCTTTGAATCTTCGAAGGATAACAATTTTAATGTGTATATCTTGATTAAGATCCAGATCTAAATCATCTGCCTGAATGGACATTTCAGCCAAGTGTATTCTGCTGGGTGGCAGCCAAATGGTGTTTCCCCTAAAATGAATGTTGTCACCTCTGAAAGTCCTGTCACAGTTTCTGCTGTCCAGTTCAGTTGTATACATTCACAGTATTTGAGATTGAGAATAATGGCAGTTTATTTCACTCAGTCTCATTTTTGAGGCAGTGCTGAGTAATTTGTAAAGATTATCAGTACAGTCAAAAGTCTGTATTTTATAATCTAATATTACTAATGTTTATCCCTCTGATTTTCCCACTTTTTCTTTAATAATTTTTTTAATGAGCAAAAATTCTGTGTTACTGATGGTATTTGAGATGGATTTTTATCTGTGGTTATAAGTTTCACAGCAGTCTTGTAATCTGTGCTAGAATTTCGTGAAATTCTAGTTCTGTGATGGCAGTAAGCATTCCAGATTTTAACTTTTAATGAGAACCTGAAGTAGTTCTCACCTGGGATTGCTTCATCATATAAAATGAAGTGTTCTTACTCTTCATTGTGTAATGACAAAAATGAATGAAATTGCACCTTGATGCATTCAGGGCTAAACAAATTAGAAAACATTTGTATCGTCTTTCCAAAATTCATTGGAGATGAGAATTCAAAATGGTTCACTTCTTTCCCTGCCCTGTGTTGAAAGAAATTAACTGGTTGGTTGGATGAGCATTTTCTCAAGGGGACACAGAGACACACAGGACCTGATTTGCTTTACAGAACAAACATTAAAATGTCACTAACAATTTGAAGATGATTTTTTTCTTCCTCTGTGTTTTGTAGCTGAACTTCACTTGGGTTCACGCTGACTGAATTTCTAATCATGCAAGTCTGCTACTCTAAACCTGAGTATCTGCTTTCCTCTACTCTTCTTAGACTGTCATACTAACAGGATGATTTCTGCACAAAACATTAGGAAGTGTGACAGAGTCATTGGGAGAGATATTTTGTTTTGTGCCTGCTTGAAAGAGAACAAATTGGGGTTGTATCTGAGTTCCACCTGTTCCCTAGTGTATTTCCCTGATTCCACACCAAGTATTTTTTGCAACTTTTCTGTTAAAGTAGTGTGGTCGAAGGTAAAAGTTATGCTTTCAGATTTCAAGCCAAGCAGACCTAGAGTGTATTACTGTGTGAGGTTTCAGACCATTTAATTTGTAACCCACTCACACTCCAAAACAACAGATTGATTTTTTTTTTCTCCCTGTCTATTAGTTTTGGAAGCTCAGTTGGATATGCCACTCTTCATTTAATGTGAAATGTGTCAAACACCAGATGAATATATGGAAGAATTATTGAAAGTCATGTAATTGCACTGGCAATTAAGAGCAAACTAATGGCTCAATATTAATCAAGAAGAAATTGAAAATACATTATTAAGATAGAAGTAGTTATGCATTAGTTGAAAGGTAACAGGAAGCAAAAGGGAGAAGGAGTAGCTTACCAGATGTACAAAGACTACAGGAAGTAGACATCTCTATTTTTGTTTGTTTGGGGCTTTTTTGGGGGTTGGTTTTGTTTCTTTCAGGATCCTGGAAAGGCCTTAAAGTATGGAACTCTGTCAGGCCAGGTTAATGTGGTGTTGCATTCAGGATATTTCTCAGCCCTAGGAAGTTATCCTTGAAACAGCTTTTAATGCCTGCTTTGAGAAAAGAACCAACAAATGAGCTGCCACATGTTATGTCTTACCTTGAGGTTTAATGCTCTTTTCTAAAGTCTCAGCTTTTGCCCTGGACTCTCTGCTGGTAGGGAATGACCTGGAAGAGATCAGAAACTTTCTCTCAACTCACACCCAATTTTGGTTTTTTTTGTTTTCATCTTCTGTGTTTTGTTTTGGAGGTTGGCTTTGCTTGGATTTTTTTTTCTTATTAGTTGTTTTGATTTTATTTTTTTTTAAGAACACAATGACAGCTATGTGGACCTCCTTTCTGCACTGCCACTCCAGCCCACAAGTGTCTTGCTGAAAAATTTTCTTCTTTCTTTTTTTTTTCTTTTTTTTTTGTTGTTAATAGCTTTGGTATATTTTTAATACTTTAAAAACTTTGCATAAGAAGATTTACAAGTTAGTTCTGTCACTGCTGTGATGAGTTGTTTGTGGGGGCTGTTCTTAGTGTCACACCCCTGGGATGCTGTGAGGATGCTGTACAGGCTGCCTCTGCATCAAGGGGTTCTGTGCATCAGGAGCACCAACAGTTCTGCTTGATAGATCTCATAGATCTGAATATTGGTGCTTTATACTGCAGGCACTTTTTTTGTTCATAGGCTGCATCTTCAAACTGTGGATTTATATAGATTTAAGAGATTTGTGTCTCTAGGATTTGTGAGTTGTGTTCCAAAAGGGTTTCCATGGAAATTGAAAGGTTGCCACTATGGTTATTCCTTCTGATATACTGTATTTGTGTATGGTATCTTCCCTAAATTGACTTTAGATACTGGATTATATTAAACATTTTTAAAGATACAAAAGGAGTTGCTTACAGGTGGAACAAAAATAGGAGTGATCCAGCTTCATTATTAGTGTGTAGACACAAGACTAAGGCTGGTCCAGACGTTTGTAATATGGAGGGAGTACACAGTATTTTGAGGAGGTTTGCTGCTTAATATTTGCTTCTTTTTTTTTCCCCTTCTCTAATCAGTTAACGTTTTCTTGCCACCTTTCCTTAAAGAATTTAACTTAAGCAGTGTCATTTTATTTAAAAAATTTAGAATGGTTTTGTAAAGGTCAGCACCTGATATGTATTGATTTGAGTATTTAGTTCTCTGATGTTTGAAAATTCCCATCCAAGTTTCTCCTTGCAGCAAATCTTAAAGCAGTTTTTGCTTTAAATTAACCTTCAGGGTTTTTTAGTTCTAATATAGTTATTCAAACATTGAAATTAAAATATTGTTTCTCTGCATGTTTGAGTAGAAAGACAAAGCAAGGGTGGACAGGCAAATATGGAGGAATTAATGAAAGGAATTCTGTTGGCCCAGTCATGCCCTCAGAAACGGTGATGTTTAGCTGCTGAAGAAAGCTGACCTTTAAAGAGGTCCCACTTCCAATCTATTATTGATGGAATTTCTCATAGCCAGAAGACTTCAGCCTAATTCCTGTAGGTCAGCAGTAGCTCCTCATGAGAGTCAATTTTCAAAATTGAGAGAGAATGCTATAGCACTTTGAAGGCAAAACATGTTCAAATATACAGGCCATTTTAATAATTCAAATTATCAAATGCCTTGATTTCAAAATTTTGAGATCAATTTTTTTGAAATCACAAGCTACCGTAAGAAAGAATACTGCAAAGGAGAGGAACTCCTGCCAACACTACATGATGCTACAGGGACAAAGAATTTCCTCTTACAGCATTTACCTGCCTGGCTTTCTCTTCTTGTGTTGAAATAAAAGCTATTTCACTTACTTCAGTGATCAGATGTGAGAAGGCACAGTCACACTACAGTGACCCACGTCTTGCAGCGAGGTTTTATCCCATCAGCCAGGCTGGGAATGCTTTTAAAGCTGCAGGTTCACTTATCTACGCTAATACAGTGCCCTGTGCTTCAAGTACCTTTCAAAACTGCCTCTTGCAAGTGATCTGCCACATGCTTAAAGGTTAAAGGAATGAACAGAGACATCAGCAAGATGCATGTAGATTATTCTCTCGTGCACTTTATCTCTCCTTTCTGTTTGCAGACTCTCAGCATGACTTGAATTCTCATGGTATCAAACACAGTTTGAATTGTCTGCAAAGGTAAATTAGGAAAACAGAGGGGTGCAGGAGGGTGGCAGTACAGGTTAACAGGTGAGGGTGGTGGGTTGCCTAGGTGAGCAGCAGTTCAGTGTTCCCACTCTACCTGACACATGCAGCTGCCTGCACTTTGAGGCCATTGTCTGAGTATAGTCCCTGCACCTCATGTGATCTGCATTTAGGTGTACAAAATTTTGTCCTACATTTTCTCCTAGTAACAGATGATCTAAAGCTATTTTTAACATGGAAGGCACTCCTCATTGCTGAGTCTGTAGTTAGGAGATATAATTTTCTTCAAATTCTACTCTATATCTGAAAATGTTGTGAAAACAGATGGTGATTGCTCACCTTGGCTAGGGAGGGACAGTTTTGTTATTCTAGCTTGTATTACATGTCTATATGCAAAGTCTTTCAGATAGACACAGCCATGGGTGGAATGCTGAATCTCTCTGTTCCAGATTTCAAGCTACAGAGCTGTTTTGGTATTTCTGTTGTCCTTGTATAATGATTTTGAACATGTGTAATATGCAACTAAAACTTAAACCACAAAAATCTTTGGGCAGCTGACCACTGAAATAATGGAGGACTTTCATTCCCCTCACCTGGCCTTAGTTGGGTCATGTTATTTCCAGCAACCAAGATTCAGTTCCAGCCATGTACCTTGCCAAGGAGTGACAACTCTGAGTTGATCAATGGATTCAGTAAAGGGAGGGGATTTTGATCACTGAAAGGGATAACAGAACTACTGAGAGATTTGCCAAGTGAAGATCCTGTTGAAAATTGTTTTTGGGGACCTACTCATGTGAGTAGCTCTGGTCTCTGCTTTGCATGACCAGGGACAGGACATGAGGGTGGCTGGAGCTGTGTCAGGGGAGGGTTTGGTTGGATTCCAGGAAAAGGTTCTTCCCCCAGAGGGTGGTCAGGCACTGAACAGGCTCCCCAGGGCAGTGGTCACAGCACCAAGGCTGCAGGAACTCAAGAAGTGT